TAACTCTCATTGTCTGGGAGCTGCTACTGTGGCAGGGCTGGCTATGGCCGCTGAGGGGGCCGGGGTAGCAGGAATGGTGCCTCCCACCTCCTTGGGCTCCTGCCCTTTGGGAGCAGCACCCAGCTGGCCACAGCTGCCCCTACTGCCCACCAGGAGAGACATGTGGAGGGGAGGCCTGGCCACTCCTCACCCTGGGTCCATCTGGTGGCTGGGCGTGGGCTTTTGTGCCCAGTGTTGCCTGCTTCTCCATTGACTTGGGGGCAGAGGTGTTGGTTTGTGAGGGGCTCCTGGTGGGAATATGGTACTCCGGCTGCTCCTCCGGCAGTCTCCTGGACTCCCACACCTCTTACCTCGTCACTGCCTTCTCCTCTGCCATCCGCATAATGGGCTGATCTGCAGATGCCCGAGAGGACTCGCTGGCAGCTGTGACCAGGGGCCAGGGCTCAGTAGCATGTGGTGCCTGGGACAGTGCCTCAGTTCACCTCTGGGGAGGTTCTAGACTCAGCTTCCCCATGGGCTGAGCATGGCGACTGCGGCTACTACTCCAGGGAGAAGTGGCCAGCCATAAGGGCCTCGGTGGGGACGTGGTTCTGAGAGGGAAAACATTAAGAAAACCACCAACTCACATTCTATATTTGCTCAAAATGAACAGCCCCTGCCTGCCTTCCCTTAAGTCTCCAGAATCCCCTTTGCAGGAACATTTCAGCCATCTCTCTCTCTCTGTCTGTCTCCTCAGGCTGTTTTAGCCTCTGATCCTGAAATTTATCATGACTGACTGGGACCAGTAGAGGCAGCTGGGAATTTTGGGTGGTTCCTATCTCTGTTTGTTGGGTTTTCCCCAGGCCTGGCCCAAGGAGACTGGCAGAGGAGGGGTGAGTCCCAGCACAGAACCCACAGCTTTGAAGGAAACTCCAGCCCCACCGGCATTTCCCTTCCCCTGCAGTGGGAAGGAAGCGAGGAGGGGCTAACCGGCTGGGGGTGCAGAGCAGGAAAGGGAAAGGAACCTCTGTGACCAGAGCCAGCTCCCGCCGCCTCTGCTTCTCTGGGGCCCACAGGGTCGTGTGGGGAGTAAGGAAGCCTTGCTGGGGGGATTGGGCCCTTGCTCCCATGGAAGGGGCTGGCCCCTGAGCAGGCACTCGGTCTGGTCTAAAACTGGCCATAAACCAGAGCCGCCTTGCTGGAGAAGCATCAGATCCACCCCTTTCTGCTTCTTTCTGTTATAGGTTTTTATTATTAGACTTCTGGCTGGTTCCCTCTGATTTAGGAATCAGTCCCAGAGTTGCTTTGAGTCTGAGTTCCTCTTCTCCCATCTCGCTGGAGTCTGCCCCTCCATCCCCAAGGACAGTGATGTTTTACTGCCTCCTAGTCTTAGCAGCGAAGGATCAAAGCAGGGGTGAGGGGTTGCTCTGTCCCCAGAGTGTTGAGAAGCAGAGCTGAAGGAGGAGGGACAGAGGCAGGAATAGAGGATAACCAAGGAGCAAGAGGGCAGGTCCTTGGGATGTCAGAGCATCGCTCAGGGTTTCTAGGAGGAGCGGCAAGGGAAGTGTGTTGAACACCCACAGTGTTCCAGACTCACTAGGACCTAAAGTATTTTTCATTTAATCCTCATAAAACCCTGTGAAGTGGTGAGATTATCTCCGTTTTGTGAATGAGCTCTCTGAGGTTCTATGACTCTGAAGAGCTTGAAGTCGATCTGGAGCTCGCTGGTTCCACATCCAGTGTCCTCTGCCCCAAAACAGCTGAATCTCCTTTCTCTTCAGCGAGGGTCTCTGAGAGGAGTTAGCAAGAACTCAGCCTGGCGTCTGCCTCAAGAGAGCCTGTGGTCTCAGTGGAGCCACAGCAGGAAAATGTCAAGGAAACAACCTCTGACTGAAACCGGAAGGAAGGTTGGCAGGTTTGCTCCCTGGCTGTCCCCGGAACTCAGGAAGCTGCCCTTCCTCAGGACATTGAGCCCTGCTGGCCTCACACACAGTATCTGCTGGAGGCAGGGGCCCCGATGCCATGGTCTGGCGGGGAGAGAACTGCCAAACCCTGGCCCTGCCCGTGATGGGTGGCTCCCACACCCCACAGTCCATGACTGACTTCTTGTGAGTGCCGGAGGCTGGGGAGTTCCCCCACCCACTTCCTTCCCCGTCACACTTCAGTCACAAAGGAGAGAAAACTACCCTCAATGCTCAGAAGTGTTACCCAGAGCTCTAGACCAGAGGACGTGGGCCTGTGGTCAGAGCTGCTTCATGTTCCTGCCCCTGGTTTCCATTTGCTGGCATCCCTCTCTCCTGGGCATCTAAAGTCTGGCCAGTTCCCTGAGGTTCCTCTTCCATGCTCTTAGGCTGGGGTTCCCAGAGGTGGTGACCCTGCTTCGTCTTTGAAGTCCCAGGGGACCAGACGTTTTCTCAGCGGTTCACCTGGTGGGGAAGTGTGAGGCCCCAGCAGCTGCCAGCGGGTGGCTGAGGGAGGAAGTTGATGTAGACGGGATGTGATGTCTGCCACAGCCGAAACGAGCTCCCCCTCCCCCTCCCGAGTCACGTGCTTCCAGGGGAGATGACTGTTTTCTGCCTTCATGGCACAGACATGGGAGAGGGGGGCACAAGGACAGTGAAGCCACCTCAGACCGTGCGCAGGGCCAGAACCAGGCCTAGTCTCACGAACTCTGCAAGCTGCAGCCTGGCCCTGCTTAGGTGGGAGAACTTGCTCCAGGCCACCTTTGGTTTTCGGGTCCCTGTTCTGTGGTGGCCTCCTGCTGGCCACACAGACACACTGAGATTGGCCCTTAGCCGAGTGGTCCCAGAGAGAACACCTGGGGTTCTATGTGCCTGTCCGGCCAGGCCTGCTCCATCAGCAGTGGGGCGGATTCGGTTAGCCCCTCTTCTCTGCCGAAGCTCAGGCAGATTCACAGGGCGGGATCAACCATGGGGAGAAGGGTGACGTGGTGGTCCCTTCCCCTTCTTTTCTTCTCTTCTGGGTTTCTAAATTCTTCCATTTCTAAACACTGAACAGAGATCCCAACTCCACTTCCTTTTTCAAGCCATAATGACCCTGTTTCCAGCCAGAAGCTTGGCCCAGAGCTCAGAACGGGAACCTGTTTTTTTTTTTTTTTATCTTTGGCTGTGCTGGATGTTTGTTGCTGCTCGGGCTTTTCTCTAGTTGCACCGAGCAGGGGCTACTCTCTTGTTTCAGGGCACAGGCTTCTCATTGTAGTGTCTTCTCTTGTTGCAAAACACAGGGTACACAGTCTTCAGTAGTCCCAGCTCAGCCCCCAGGCTCTAGAGCACAGGTTCAGTAGTTGTGGTGCATGGGCTTGGTTGCTCCATGGCATATGGAGTCTTCCCGGATCAGGGATCGTTAACCTGTGTCTTCTACATTGGCAGGCGGACTCTCTACCACTGAGCCGCCAGGGAAGCCCCACAACCAGGACCTCTTAACCATAGGTTTACCATCAGCTTGCCCTCCACTTGGTGCCTCTCATAGGGTTAGACGTCATTAGTGGTTGGAGGCATATGAATAATGGTACAGTCAGTCCTTTAGATGAGCGTGTGTGTGTGTGTGTGTGTGTGAAGTTGCTTCAGTCGTGTCCAACTCTTTGTGACCGTATGGACCGTAGCCCGCCAATCTCCTCTGTCGATGGTATTCTCCAGGCCAGAATACTGGAGTGGAGTGCCTTGCTCTCCTCCAGGGGATCTTCCCGATCCAGGGATCAAACCCACATCTTTTATGTCTCCTGAATTGGCAGGCGGGTTCTTTACCACTAGCACCACTTGGAAAGCCCTTAGATGACCATACAACTGGCTTAATAGCATGTATGTAAATAAATACCTAATAAATAGATACATGTAACAGAAATAAACTATGTTTAAGGATTTTCTTTCAGTTTCTTAGAAAACAGAGAGCCTACTCCCAGGATACTCTTGCTGTTTTTGGAATAACTCAGAGCTGGTATGACTCCTCAGGATCCTGGGCACATACAATCTGTGTCCCCAGGGACAAGGATGTCAAGGACCCAACAGAGATAAGCCAGGTGGTCACGCTTTGTTTACCTGGAAGTTAGAGCTGAGCTTGGAGCAGTAGGTAAGGGAGAGGAAGATGAGAGGAAGGCCTTACTGTGACCTGCAGCCAAGGCAGCCAGATTGGTTAGAGGAGGGGCTTGGCTGGACCTGAGCGGGAGGGAGGGGTAAGAAGGGGTCAGTAGGGCTGCTGGTCTGGGTGGGGCTTGGCCCTGGATGCCTTGGCTTTTCATTCACTTAACACTTGTATTCATGTATTCCTTCAGCAAATGGTAGTGAACGAAATAAAATGACTCCTGGTCTGTCCTGTACTCTCAGTTAGAGTGTCTCAGTGAGGGGTTGGGACACTTCACTGTGTCATAAGTAATCAGCACTGATGATTAAAGTACTGAAATCTTGTAAACTGTTTCCTTAAAAACTTGAGCAGTAATCTTCATGTTGATGTTCTGCTCATTCCCTGGTGTCCTGGATGTGAAGGAAGGGGTTAGACTTGTAGCATCTGCACAGGCTATGTATGGGTGGCTCAGGATTCACCCATGGGTGTGAGTGGTACAGGAAGCCTGCCCAGCTCTCAGGCTGTGGGGGAAAATTGATTGATGTTGTCACTTTAGACTGGTGACTTTCAAACTTTTTTGACCAGTCCCATGTTAAGAAACACATCTTACATTGTGTCTATGTTTTGTTCATGAAGCAAAAACTTTGTGAAACATTATTTATACTTCCTAATTGCAATCAATTCTGATATCTTAAATTCTTGTTCTATTTTAATCTGTTCATTCTCATTCAAAATAAAGTTACTCTTGACTGACTACACTGATTCCACAACCTGTAGTTTGGAAGACGCTGCTCAACCAAACTGAACCAAACATGAAGGGGAAACAGGAAGATGGTCGTGCACCTCTAAGCCTTCCTGTTCAGCCATGGAATGTCCGGGTGAAACCTGAGGGTTCAGGCGTGAGGGAAGCCTGTCAGCCCTGTTGACTCAGGTTCTCTCCTCAGAGCTCCATGAACCTGCCTCCTGACAAGGCGCGGCTCCTGCGGCAGTACGACAACGAGAAGAAGTGGGACCTCATCTGTGACCAGGTACAGGGTTTGGGACCGAAAGTGAGGCTGGTCACGGCGGCAGGGCCTTGGGTATTAACCGCAGCCCTGGGGTCCCTTGAGGAACCCTGGCCTGGTCTTGGCCTCAGCCCATGCTTATTTCCTCTTCTAAAAGCAATTTCCTAACAGACACAGGCTGGTAGGCCAGCTTCCCCTCTAGCTCCCACAAAGCACTGTCTTGATTTCTTCCCACTGAGGTTTGTTGAGCTGTGAGGTCTGCTCTGGAGGAGTTTGGTGGTTTCCCCAGCAGAACCTGTTTCTGCCTTTCCAACCACGGTGAGGGCTGTGCCTGGCTGAGGAATCCAAAGCGCCATTTGTCTTTCACTCTGCTCCAGACCTGGCGAATAGCAGCCTTTCCCCCATTATTTACAGGCCTCTAGGAATGAGAAGCCCAGTCCTCTAGTCTTCTGTTCCCAAATCTCAGAATGTGAGGATTGGAAGCTCTCTCTACATGAGTGTTTAGAGCCAGAAGAGAAACAAGAGATTTTCACTTAGCTCAGAATCAAGAACTCGCACCTGTGGCCTTGCTTTTTCCCCTGTGTACCTTTGAAGATAACAAATCATGAGTTTTTGAGCTCAGACAGGCCTGGCTGCAAGCAGCCTCTTAATTGTCAACATAGAAAATTACTTTAGACTCAAGGTTACTGAGTCTACTCAGTAACTCAAAATTACTCATCGAAGGAGGAGAAGATGGCAACAGAGAAGTACCTGAGGTTAAGTCACGGAGGGGAACTTACAGTGTGGGGGATGTTGAGGGCCAGGTGAGAGCTTAAGGAGTCCCCTCACATCAGACACTGTGGGTGCCCTGCTTCCTCAGCACTCTTCTCAGAAGCCTGAATGTCTGCAAGCACACACGTGTTTCCCTCACAGGAACGATTCCAGGTGAAGAATCCTCCCCACACATACATCCAGAAACTCCAGAGCTTCTTGGACCCCAGTGTAACTCGGAAGGTGAGGTGCGAAGCAGGGTAGCCCCATCTTGCTGTCGTTTGCAGTCCTGTGGGGTTTAGGGGCAAACCCTGTGACGTGGGTCAGGACTGTTCTGAGCAGCAGGAGTTGGGTTTTTGTGTTCTGGGGGAGTGTTGTGTTGTGGTGGAGTGGCTGGCTAGGAACAGATGGAAGGACTGTCACCGCCCTCTTGGGTGCCTTCCCTTTCTTTTTCTGCCCCTTTTGCTTGTATTATAAAGTTGACTTGGGGGCCTCCATCAGTGACAGAGAATCCTACATTCACAGAAATTCAGGAGGAGAGTGCAGGAGTCAACCAAAGTCTTGAGAGAGCTGGAGATCTCACTGCGGACCAACCACATTGGGTGAGTAACCCCTGACCGTCAGAGCCTTTCCACCTGACCGCTTAGGATCTGGCGTCCACTGAGGAGAGTTTGCCTGTTTATCTCCTTGCTGTGGGGCAGAGCTGCCTCACGAATGCCTTTTGGTTCCCCAGAGGGCTTCAGACTGTTCCTTTTCTGGCTTTTCTCCCCTTTAGCTCTGCCAGCTGCTGACTGGATGCTGCTGGCAAGCCTGGGGCCTCTCCTGGGGTCCTCGGTCTGTGGCTTTGAGTGGAAGACATTCCCACAGCAGCTGAGACTGGAGTCTGCCTGTGGCCTGGGGCTGGGCCAAGGGAGGCCCAGAGAAGGCTGGGAATGGGGGAATGTATTGCATTGGGTTGCTGAGACCTGGTTTGTGGACTGTTTGGTGCCCAGAAGACTATTTGCTTGATTATAAGACAATTTTAGTTCATGAGCAGAAGCAGCTTCCTGAAACTTCAGGGAAGAACTAAAGCAGGTGGACCAGATGCTGAACATCTTCTGTTGTCCCAGACCCAGGTCCTGTCAACCTATTGCCCGGGCCCCTAGAAACTACATGAGTCTTTTTTTTTTTCTTCCAGAGGAGTGGGGAACCACAACCTGCTGAGCAGGCACAGGGCTAATGCGTGAGATAGAGGGAAAGAGCTACAGCCTTGGATTCATAAAACTGTAACCAGCCAGGGTAAATATAGTGAAAGTGAGAGCAAGAGAGAAGGTGAGAGAGAGAGAGAGAGAGAGAGAGATTGAGAGTGTGTGTGTTTGTGTATACGTAGACAAAGTGACAGAGAACTGCAGGCAGGACTACAGATCTGGCCTGATCATTGAGAGCTCACAGGAGTGAGAAGTCTAAAAAGTCGAGCCTGGGGTGGAGGTGGGGGTTGCTGGGCAGGTTCCAGCCCCAGGAGCAGGAGTAGAAAGAGCCAAATGACATCATCTGCCTTCCTCTCCCGTCCCGCCCGGGCTTCTGATGCAGGCTACCTGTATGCAGTCAGCTGCCTCCTGCAGTCATGGGAGAGAACAGGAAAAGGACAGTTGCTGGCGCGGTCGCTGTGCTTGGTGGCCAGAGCTGGCTTTCACACCTCATCCATGAAACACACATTGAGAACTGATCCGCTAGGAAATGTGTAACTCAGCCTTCACCTTTATTTGGTGAAGCTCGAGGAAGGAAAAACTGCAGTGCCCCATCAGCTACCCCACGTGTGAGAGCACAGGCGACACAGATGACAGCTCCAAGCACCACCCGGCATTCATCCGAAGGGCCTTTATCCTTCCCTACTTCCTTCTCTCTCGGGCCCTCCTGTCCTCCTTACTGAGTCCTCCTGCATGAGGAGGGGGCTCTGCTTTTCCCCGGAGAGGGCTGTGGAGCAGTGTGGGATGGTCCCCCCAGCCTGCCCCCTCTACCTGCTGCTGCCGTCCCCTCTGGCCATCGGCCAGGCCTGAGGCCAGAGCAGCGTGGTTCCCAGGCCCAGGCCTCTTGGCAGTTGGCACACAAGTTAGAGATCCGAACCGGGTCCTTGGTTCCCAGGAGCAGCTCAGCATCTGGCATTTGAGGAGCTCCTGTCATTTGAACTGTGCTCCCCTGGTGGAGTTATGTGGGAAGGCCAGGACGCTTCCTGGATTTCTGGGCAGGAAGAGTGTGTCAGGCTGTCAGGCAGGGCTATGGGAGCTCCAGGGCGGTGGGAGCCCAGGGCAAAGTAGCACGAGGGGGATCCTGCCGCTGAAGCAGCCTGATACACCCCAGGCCCTTGGAAGATGGGGACTCGAGCCTGGAGCGGGCCAGGCTGGGAATCGGGGTTCCAGAGCTACCCTAGCCCCTCCTCCCCCTGGTTTGTGTTGGTTTCATGGCCTTGCTGAAGTGCCCTTTGACATCTCCTCAAAGTGTCAAGATCCCGAAAATAGCAGTGGAGACTCAGACAGGAAATGAGAAGGGGGCGGGGAGCTGGAGAGCAGACAGACAGGAAACGGGAGGCCTGTCGGCCCCCAGAGAGGAAGCTAACTTCAGGCAGCTCTGGTGTCAGTCAGCCTCCTCCGCCAGAGCTTGCTGCCAGATCTCTGCCGGGCCTGGCGCTTCGGCCCGGCCTCTCTCTGTAGCCCGGGTGTGGCCATCTGACATGGCGCTGGTGTCCCAGCTGTGGGGGAGAAGCGGCCTCGGGGGGCTGTTTGGCACTGCTGGCCTGGAAAGACCCCCAGACTCTCAGAGTGAATAGGGCACAAGAGAGTCAGGGTTTCATCTGGAGAGTTTTCTTTCTCTTGGGGTCCTGTGTGTCTACAGGACAGGAGTGAACCTGTCCTGTAACAATCCTGGGAATTGCTCCTGACTTTCCTTCCAGGGATGTCTCAGTTCAAAAGGCTTGAAGGCAGAAGGGTGGAAGTGCCCTGGTCTGTTGTCTGTCCTCCTGCCTTCCTGGTTCAGTCTCTTAGAGATCAGAGCCATTCTGGAGTTACTTGAGTTCCTGACTGTTCCTCCATCCTTCTCCTATTCTGCCAGTCTCACCCATGACCACACACAGAAATCCGACGTATCCCGCTGTTCACCGCTTCCCAAAATACTTTTCCTTGAACTTGGTGGAGAGCCCTTTGGCCTGGTATGCCTCTTTTCCAGAGCTCTCTTTGCCCCTCCCTGCCTGTCTTTTAACTGAGACTTTGGTTGAGTTGGGGTGCTCAGTTGTGTCCAACTCTTTGTGACCCCATGGACTGTAGCCCACGAGGTTCCTCTGTCCTGGATATTTGCCAGGCAAGAATACTGGAGTGGGTTGTCATTTCCTTCTCTAGGGGATCTTCCTGACCCAGGGATCAAACCCGCATCTCCTGTGTCTCCTGCACGGCAGGGGAGTTCTTTACCTTCTGAGCCACCGGTCAATTTGGGGACCTGCCAGCTTCCGTCAGGCATAGCTCTGTCCAAGGACCGCAGTAAATGCTCTGTGTAACCCTCAGTTCCTCCCACAAATGTAGCAGCAGGAAGGTGTGCCCAGCCTCGTGTTAGACACCGGGAATCCAGAAAATGATGGAGTGGGGGCCCTGGCTCTTGAGGAGGGGGCTCCTGAAGGCTGGTTTGGCTGATGTGGTGTTGGAAGGCCTGCATCTCTCCCCATCTCTGGTTCCCTCGCCTAGGGGAGGTCCAGCCCGATGACATGAACATGGCTGGGTCAGCCACAGGCTTTGATCTTCAGAATTCTCCCAGCCTGGTGCTGAGTTCCAGAGGATCCAAGAGGGAATGTTGTTTCACAGAGGCACCTTTTGCTCCTCCCCCTCAACCCACTTTATTAGCGCTCTCCTCTGCTATGTTTCCTTTATCTGCAGGTGGGTGCGGGAGTTTCTGAATGATGAAAACAAAGGCCTGGACGTGTTGGTGGATTACCTATCCTTTGCCCAGTGTTCTGTCATGTGAGTACCACCTGGGACCAGGGCGGGGAGACCAGTGAGTTAGGACACAGTCCCATTCTGCCTTGACTGGAACTGGCAGTAGCGAAGGTGGAATGGGAACTCCAGGCAGCAGTGTGGGCATGGACAGGTGGCCACGGTGCTGTCTGAGGTCAGCGAAGAATGCCAGGTGACGAGTAGGAGGTGCATTTTGGGGAGCAGAAGGCAGGATGTGGAGGGGCAGCTCAGGATCCTAACCCAGAAGACCCAGACTCCATGCTGGGAGTTGCCCAAGGAGGTGTCCTGGCTTTTGGGAGAGAGGCCCTCATGGGGTTCGTTTACTTTGGGAGAGCTAGGTCTTCGCAAAGCCACTTTAGGTCTCCAGCTGTGAGAGGGTTCCTCCATGTCACCCCAGGAGCAGTGAGCATGACCTTTGACAGACTGAAAATGAAGCATTCAGGAGCCTTTTTCAAGCAGGCAGGGGTTTGGAGGCAGCTGGAAGTGAGTTAGCACAGAGGAAAAGGCAACGTGGGCTGGGGTGGGGAGTGGAAGGAACGAGGGCTTTCAAGGCAAAGCCCGGCGTGGGTCTCTTTGGTCCTTTACTATCTGCGTGACCTCTGGAAAGATTGCTGAGGTCCTCTTATGTAAGAGGGGATCCATGTTCCAGGGTTGCTGTAAGCATTGGATGATAATGTGTGTAAAGCAGTTTGTAGTATTTGGAACATAGTGGTGGCCACTTTTATTTGTTAATTGTTGTTATTTAAGGTGGTGTTCCCTACCATAATTACCTAAACATATGGCAAGAGGGATTATGTTGATCATTCACAGCATGACCAACACATGCAGACCTGTACCCAAGACTTACCAGAGCCCTCGGATGACCGATCATCCCAGTTTACCCGTGACTTCCCCCACATGACTTTCCCCAATGTTAGTGCTGAAAGTCCCTCATCCTGGGGAACTCCTCAGTCCAGGGACTCCCCCCCGCCCCGCAGTCTGACTTTCACTTTTCTTGCTGCTGTCCTTGCCCTGGGCCATTCTCCTTCCTCAGCAGGTTTTTATCCTCATCTCCTTAAGAGTTCGGAACTATTGCCTCTCCTGGGTTTGGCCTTAGTCATTTTTACCAGTTCATCCCATTAAAACCAAGAGTGACTGACTCCCCCTTCCCGTCCCTGCAGAAGTCAAGCCTCATCATCTTTCTATCCCTTAAAAAAAAAAAAAAAAACTCACTCTTTTTATAGAAAGAAATGAAAAATATTTGCTGAAGCGATTTAAAAAAAAATTCAGAGCTTTTATAGTAAAAGATGTAGATCATTTTTCCAAATAAGCCTATCTTGTTTGGAAAGCAAACAAATTCCAGCTGCTTGAAACCAAAATACCCTGGAACCTCAGTATTGTAGTGTCCATGGCAGTGCCTTTGACTGTTTGTAAGAGAAAGACTCAGGGCAGGTAGAGGGTAGCTAAGAGTGTTTTGGGAAGGGTTGAGAGGAAAAGAGTGAAGCCAAATAGAGTTTGAGCAAAGGCACTTCTTTGTACAGTGAATGTTCCAGAGTGGGGCTGGAGTGGGGAATACTATTATCGTTAGAGGGAGGGCACTGGCAAGTGGTTTCCCTGTCCTGGAGACTCCTCTGAGTTCTGCTTGAAAGCCCCTTCAAACATCTGACCGTCAGGATCCTGAAGTCTGTTCCTACTTTCTTGGAAACATTCAGGCATCTGCAGATACTGCTTCCTATTTCAGAAAGCCTTGGCCTCTGTGACTTTGACCCTGGCGCTGTGCATATTTAAGGAGCTTGTTGGAAATGCTCGTTCCGTCCTGGGTGACCCACTTCAGGGGAGAGGACAGGAAAGGGGAGTGGGGCTTGTTTCTCAGAGGGGGAGATCTGATGAGGGGACCTGCAAGGGAGAAGGCCCTATGGGTTCATCATCTTGAGCTGTCCTCTTTGCTCCGGCCACACTCCCAAACTGCTGATTGTGGAAGACAGCTGGTCTGAGAAGCAGAAAGTGACAAAGAAGCCATCCCAACTCCTGTAGGGATTAAGGACCCCAGTTCACACCTCTGCCCTCCCCCAAGGGAAGCTGCAGCGCGAGGAGCCTCTGAACCAGGAAAACCTAGAAACCTCAAGCAGAACCATGGAGAACCCAGCCATCAAAACTCAGTGCTGGGATGGGACTGCAGTTCTTCCTGAACATGGAGGCCTCTCCCACTCTGGCTTCACCAGGACCCCCATCCCCTTCCACTCAGACCTGCCCTCATGAACTTAATCCAGAACCACCCAGGCCCCCTCAGGGCATTGAGAGGCCTCTCCGGCAGCTGCTGTTGGCCCCCTAGTAGTACCTGCTGTTGCCCAGTTCCCCACTGCTGCTCTTCGGGCCGACTCAAGGGGACCCATGGCTTCTCTGAGATGTCCTGTCTATGGCTGGGGGTGCAGAAAGACTACCAGCCCCCCGAGTCCCTTCAGGCCCATGGGAGGTGACTGCTGGAGTTGCTTGGTCAGTGGGGAGCAGCAACTGGCCTCTCAGCATCCCCATCTCCTCAGTTGCCCCTCCTGGGCATGGCCCATGCTGCCTCTGCCCTGCTCAGCACACCTGTGCCAGTGGCTCTCCTGGCCAGGGCTGGGTCTCTGCTGCCCGGTTCCGCTTTTTCTTCTGGCTGCCCTTGCTTCTCATGGCCCTCAAGGTCTAACGGGCGGGGGTGGGCCCGCCAGTGGCTTGGCACTGAATTTCTCCTGTGTGCGGGCATGTGTGTCCTTTCCTGCTCCAGGTTTGACTTTGAGGCTCTGGAGAGTGGTGACGATGGTGCGTTTGACAAGCTCCGGTCCTGGAGCAGGTCTATCGAGGACCTGCAGCCACCCAGCGCCCTGTCCGCCCCCTTCACCAACAGCCTCGCTCGCTCTGCGCGCCAGTCTGTGCTCCGGTATGTGTGCTCTCGCTCTGCCCGCCTGCCTCCCACCCTCGCCCCATCCATCCAGGTCCTGGGTAACAGCGGTGAGTGCTCACGCTCCTCCCTTCACTCTTGCTTCCAGGCTCAGCTCTCTTGCCCTCTGCCTGCCAGTCTGTCTCTGGTCTGTCCTCTCTGTCCCTTGACTCTGCCCAGCGATCTGTCCTGGGTAAGTACATCACCCTCGGCTGTGCCCACCCCCTCTGGGGTTCCAGCCCTCCGCTGTCATCTCCCCCTCTCTGGGGGCCCCTCCATTTCTCACTCTCACTCTGCCATTCCTCCAGGCCCCTGGGCAGGGCTTGTCCTCATCCAGCTCCTTGGTCTTCACCGGCTGGTCCAGCACCTGCCTTCATGTCTGTTTCCCCCTGCTCTGTACTCAGCTCCATCAGCTGCCCAGAGACCAGCCCCCACCAGCCTGCTGCTGCTCACCTTTCCCTCCCTTCTTCCTTTAGGCCTTTTTTCCTCCAAGGCTGCAGCATGTGCGTTGGTCTGCAGTAGCTGAAGAGCTGTCCTGCCCAGAGACAGGTGGATGGACTGGATGATTTCTCAGAGCCCCTTCACAGAGGGAGGCTTTCCTTTGGGCCCTGTGGCCCCTTCCATGATCTCTCTCAGCCATGCTTTTCTCCTTGTCTTCTTTGGGTCTTGCCCCTGACACTGCTCATCATTCTAGTCATGCATGACCAGATACCATTTGTGTTTCCTTTTTTTTCCATGAAACACCACTGGGGGCAAAGTCAGAGGTAGTCCCGGCCCTCTTGTAGCCTCTGGGGTCTGCTGTCTTTTCTAGGACCTAGAAGTGGGGTGGGAGCCAAGATGCCCCTGCCTCAGGGGACGTGTAGAAGATGCAGTGACTGGGAGGAGGGGGAAGGAGGGCTCCGATGGATGTCTCCTGGACCCATCCTGAGATCTAGGAAGGCCTGCACACCTCCTATTGTGTTTGGAGGAGCTCTGAGCTTAGGATGGTTTGGGCACTGGTTTTAAGGCTGGGGTCCTGGAGATTTACTGACAAAGACCTGCTCCAGGGAGGTGAAAACAGTGGAGCACCCTGCCCCCTGCACCTTCTCTCAGGGATATTGATGCAAGGTCCTCCATCCCCCTTTCCTCCTGCTGCTGAGGGGCAGCCTGCTGTCTGAATGATGCTGCATGCCCTCGACCCTTCACCAGAATCCCTCTCTCCTACAGGTACAGCACTCTCCCTGGGCGCAGGGCCCTGAAGAACTCCCGCCTGGTGAGCCAGAAGGATGACGTCCACGTGTGTATCCTCTGTCTCAGAGCTATCATGAACTACCAGGTAAGGTGACAGCACTGGCCGTGGGTGCTCTGCCCCTTCCGCCTGGTCTCCCAACCAGGAGAGCTAGGAAGGCACCAGCTTGTAAAGGATGAGTTTGCAGGTGGGCCCACAGTCAGGGATCTCCAGCTGGGGTCTGCCTTCCCCTCATCACCGTCTCCCCTCCTGTCCTTTCTCCTTGCTGCAGTATGGATTCAACCTGGTCATGTCCCACCCTCACGCTGTCAATGAGATTGCGCTCAGTCTCAACAACAAGAATCCAAGGTGAGTTCCCTTCCTCTCCTTTCCTCCCCTCTCTGCCCAGGGCTCTGGAGATCTGGGCTCCACTTGTCCCCGTCCGGAAGTCCTGCCTGGTCTCGGGTCCTGTGGCCTAGGTCAGTGCCTCAATTCGGCCCCCTCCCCTCTGCTGGAGGAGGAGTGTTCTGCTTCCCTCAGGTGTACACAGCTTAGGGAGGGGAGCCAGCTTGCCTCCCCTGCCTTCTCTCCCAAGCCCACACCTTCTCCTTCACCACGGAGGCTGTCTTTGTTCTCTCGAAAGGACTCACACAGGTGTGAAAGTGAACTGTGTCATGGCCAGGGCAGGGGCAAAGGTATTCATTTTTATTCTCCACCCCTTAGGACCAAAGCCCTTGTCTTAGAGCTTCTGGCAGCTGTGTGTTTGGTACGAGGAGGTCATGAAATCATTCTCGCTGCCTTTGACAATTTCAAAGAGGTCAGTGTCCTACATTCATGTGTGTGTGTGCGTGTGTGTGTTTGGTGGGGAAGATATGGGAGCCGGCTAGGTAAGCACCCTTTCCTGTGATCTCACACGTCCTGGGGATTTTAACAGCCCAGTGCTTTTAGCTAGGTGGTCTGCCCCCTGCTTTTTTAAACCCAAACCCAAACTTCAGTCTTACTAGATCTTATGTTGGGAATGCTCCTGATTGGCCAGCAAAGGATGCCCTCATTGAGGGCTACAGTCCTGTAGTCCTAACCCACTGTGCAGAATACCTGAAGATCCTGGTAAATGGTTGGACCCCTGGGAAGCCTGGTGATCTGTGCTTTAACAGGCACCCTGGGTGGTTCAGAGGCGGTGAACACACTGGTCGTACCCAAGGCAGTTATACTTGTTGTGGGAAGAGAAGCAAGTGTTCTCCTGGGTTGCTGGCTGTTGTTGGTGAAGGGAAAAGGAGCTCCTACTTGGAATTCCCCAGCCCCGGGGCCTGGCTCTGAAACCCCCATCTGCTTGAACATAGGATTCCTCGACATCCAGTCGCAGCTGCTGGTCCCACCCCTTCCTCCTCTTTGGACCTCTTCCCTAGCATCCATTGTTCAAGCCAGGAAGTGGCTCTTCCTCCTTGAAGCCAGAGGCTCGGCTGAGCCTCTGGACCCCTCTCAGCTCTGGGGCTTTCCTGCGCCCGAGCCTCTCTCCTGCATCCCTGCTAGGACCTCAGTGTCCTGCCTCAGCCTTGACCTCCACTCCACTCCTTCCTTCAATAACTCAGCACCCCCAGGCCTCTTTGTTTCTTCTTGGCCTACCCCAGAGGCACCTAGAGCCCAGACTAAGGTCACACCTTTACTGAGCCCCTTCTGAGGCCCAGAGCAGATGTCAGGTCCCAGGCTTTCTTATGTCATGTCCCAAGTGGCCAGTTACATAAAGAGTTGTGGTTACACTTTGTCAGAACCAAGTCCCTTTGCCGAATGTTCTAGGAACCAGGGCTTGGGGGTGCTAGGGTTCTGCAGGGGACAGATCCTGTCACTGAGAAAGTCTGTTTGTTCAGGTGTGCAAGGAGCTGCACCGCTTTGAGAAGCTGATGGAATATTTCCGGAATGAGGACAGCAACATTGACTTCATGGTGAGGAGCTGGGCTGGGTCAGGTGCTTGCCCTGCAGGGCCACCTTCTCCTTGAGAACTGGGCCAGGCCGACAGTGCGCTTTGGTGTTCTGTGTGGAACTTCTAGTGGTTCTCTACTCAGTAACTGCTCCTTGTCCACTCACCCCAGAGGAAACTCCAGGACAAGGTCATTTTTCTGTCTTGGGTCTGGTTCCTTTCCCCCTTTTTGTGGCTTTACCGTCCCTGATTTGGATCCTTTCTGAGCTGCTTTCCTTTCCCCCAGCTTTTCCTCTGGCTTCACTTCTCTTCAGTCTAAGGTGTTCAGCTAGTAGGGTCGTCTCAAGAAACATCTGCTAAGGGACTTCCCTGGTGATCCAGTGGTTAAGATTCTGCACTTCCACTGCAGGGGGCACAGGTTCGATCAGGGAACTAAGATCCCATATGCCAGGTGATGTGGCCAAAAAATAAAAGCAGAAGTAAGTTAAAAAAAAAAAAAACCTGCTGATGTGCAAAGGATATCAGAGCATGAATCTTCGTTTATACCCATTTCTCATATAGTTTGTCTTCATACACTGAATATTGTTTGACTTAAGTTAAAATACTCTTATTGCTATTGTTCCCCAAAGACTTACCTATTTACTCACTCTTTTTGATTATCCCCCTGATGATGCTGATTCTGCCAGCCACCTATCGTCTCTGTCTCAGCTGTCTCTGACCCTCTGGGCTGGTCCTCCCCCAGGTGGCCTGCATGCAGTTTATCAACATCGTGGTGCACTCGGTGGAAGACATGAACTTCCGGGTCCATCTGCAGTATGAGTTCACGAAGCTGGGGCTGGAGGAGTTCCTGCAGGTGCGGTGGACTGGAGTCCTCGCAGTGGGAGGTGCTCTGGGACAGAGGACCAGCTTAGCTGTATCACAGTGGGTGTTTCTTTTCTAAGAGCCTAGTCATGGATGCTCCTGGCACCCTACCTGTCTCCTGTGGCCTGGGATTCAGGCCTTCCCGCAGAGGGCTCAGTCAGTCAGCTCCAGGGCCAAGAATCGGACACTGCTGCAGGAGGAGCTCCCCGGGTTCTAGCTCCAGGAAGGGGTCGTGGAGGGGATGAGGAGGCTCCCCCCACTACTACTGTGTCTGCTCTTCCCCAGAAGTCACGGCATACAGAGAGCGAGAAGCTGCAAGTGCAGATCCAGGCGTACCTGGACAACGTGTTCGACGTGGGGGGTTTGTTGGAGGATGCCGAGACCAAGAATGTGGCCCTGGAGAAGGTGGAAGAACTGGAGGAGCATGTGTCCCATGTACGTGGTCCTCCGTTGCTGCCAGGACCACTGTTGAGGGTGGGGAGGGAATGGGAACATCTGAGTCCCAGGAATCCCGAGCTGACCTATGTACCTCCCAACTGAGCCCCCCGGAAGCCTCAGAACCCAGCAGGGCTCTCCGGCACATGATTTGGCTGAGGTACTGAGCCGTCTGCAGGGGAGTGAACACACCACCAGTGACCTCTGGACTGGATGTGAGGTGGTCTTGGGCTCCAGAGAGTTAGATGTAGCCATTTGCCTAGTACTGTTTCCCGTGGCCTCAGATCCCAGGCCCACAGGAGTCCATAGGGAAGCCACTGGACCAAGCTGCCTTTGGAGCCCTGGGTGGAAGGGTCGGGCCTGGGTTGGTCACTTGGGCTTAGATTCCACCGAGTGGCCCGGCTTTAGGACTGGCCCCAGACCTTCCCTTCTCATCCTGCAGCTCACAGAGAAGCTTCTGGACCTAGAGAATGAAAACATGATGCGTGTGGCAGAGCTAGAGAAGCAACTGCTGCAGCGGGAGAAGGAACTTGAGAGCATCAAGGTACCAGGTTACCTGGGAAAGGGGCCCCTGGGTGCTGGGGCCAGGGGATCTTGCTTTCCATCTCTGAATCATGTCAAATCCTCAAGAATCCAGATCTTGATTCACCCTTGGAGCACTCCACTGAGGGTGGGCTGATGATTTCACCCCAGGATCTAGCTGGAGAGGGAAGCTGGAGCCACAGCGGGCCAGATGCACACACAGAAGGGTAGAGACACCTCTGGAGTCCCCGCCTCCTCCTCCAGCCTTGCTTCTCCCTCGCCTGCACCTCCACATACTTCCCCAGCCCAGCTCCTTGGGGCTGTTTGTTAGGGTTTCCACCAGGTATCCCATACTGGAGGGCAAGGCCTCCTCATATTTCAGTGTCTTCTCTGTCCCTCATTGAACTTTTTTTGTAGTTGCAAAATCATGCCCCAACCTACCTCTTCTCCCACAGGAATACAGTTACGCCAGCTCTGCTGAGCCCAGCACACATCCACCAAGCCCCTGCTAAGAGTCTGAAGTGCTCTTTCGGGAGTATGGAGGACACAGAGGTGGCTAAGGCAGGGCCTTGTCCATAGGGGGCTTCCAGTTGAGCAGTTGTACAAACCAGATGGAACGAGAGCAGGCCTGAGGCATCAAGGGCTGAGAACAGCCATAGCAGGCTGCTGGTGGGTCAAGGAGCATCTCCCAAGGCAGCCTTCTACCTAGGTCTTGAGGGACCAGTGAAATTGGACTGGAGCACTGCAGGGTGCCAGCCAGATGGTTGACTCTTCCACTCACCTCTTGTTACATTGCATCCCAGCTTCCTCCGGTCCCCACCAGGGTTTCTGCTGCTCTTTGCCTCTGAGCACCCTCCTGGAGACCCCTGTGTAGGAAGCCTCATTCCCAGAGGCCTTCAGGTGCTCTTTTCCTAATAGTACTCTCTGCCCAATAGGAGACTTATGAGAACACGAGCCACCAGGTACACACCCTGCGGCGGCTCATTAAAGAGAAAGAGGAGGCCTTCCAGCGCCGATGCCACTTGGAGCCCAGTGCCCGGGGCCTGGAGTCTGTGGGCAGCGAGGCTCTGGCCCGAGTGGGCTCTGCGGAGCTGAATGAGGGCATGCCCCACTCTGACCTGGACCTCCTTGCTCTGGCCCCACCCCCTGAGGAGGCCCTACCTCTGCCTCCACCACCAGCTCCTCCCTTGCCCCCGCCTCCTCCCCCATTACCAGGTAAGCAGGACCCTTACCTGGTAAAAGGTAAGAGGTGCAGCCTTATTGTGGGGCCACAGGGGATGTGCTGGAAGGATGTAAAGTCAGATGGGAGGGGCTGAGAGAGGGAGCATCTGAGGGATGCTCAGGTTACTAGGGAAGGGATTCTGAGAGCAGGTGTGGATCTGTTTTAAGGAGCATAAAGATGCTGCTTTTGATTCCTCTGAAGACATTCAAGGAGAGGGCTTAGCCTAAAGCAGGAAAGAGTGGGTCAGAGACCAGCACCACCACCCCTGGGAGTCAGAGTTAGAACCCCTGGGAGCTGCTTGGGCAGGGAGTTCATGCAGCCTGCTCCCCTGAAAGTCTTTAGGGACAGGTAGACGAGCAGAGGGGTCTCTTGGCCCTTGAGTCACTGTGCCATTTCCTCTTCCCCCAGACAAGTGTCCCCCGGCCCCACCTCTCCCTGGCGCTGCCCCCTCTGTGGTGTTGACAGTAGGCCTGTCAGGTGAGTGTCCCGAGGGCTCTGGGCGAGCTAGTGGGACCAAAGGAGCATGTCCTTGGTTCCTATCTCACTGATCCTCCTTTTAAATTAGCTATTCGCATTAAGAAACCTATCAAGACCAAGTTCCGACTGCCCGTCTTCAACTGGACAGCCCTAAAACCCAACCAGATCAGTGGCACTGTCTTCAGCGAACTTGATGATGAGAAGATCTTGGAGGTAGCAGAGCCCAGGGCCCTGAGGGATGGGATTGGGGGCTAGGGACTAGGTTGTCCTTCAGGCTAGATCTCCTGGCCTTGGATGGGCCCCCAAACTCAGCCCTTGGGGTACCAGAGCTGAGCCAGTGCCGGTGTGCTGCCAGGGGCCCTCCTCCTGTAGGGAGAGACCACAGCACTTTCCTTCTCATGACTTCTGCCAGGACCTGGACCTGGACAAGTTTGAAGAACTGTTCAAGACAAAAGCCCAGGGCCCTGCCCTCGATCTCATCTGCTCCAAGAACAAGACAGCACAAAAGGCTGCCAGCAAGGTGACCCTGTTGGAAGCCAATCGTGCCAAGAACCTGGCCATCACCCTACGCAAGGCTGGCCGCTCAGCTGAGGAGATCTGCAGGGCCATCCACACGTGAGGCTCCCACTGAACTTTCCCTGGCCCCCACCTGTTGGTAACCCACTTAGGATCTCCACCTAGGACCCCAGCCTTCTCTGGATTCCAGGGTATCGACAGAACTCCCTCAGTCATTCAGTGGCATAGCCAGAACTGACTGCATCTGTGCTATGTGCCAAACACTTTGTGAGATGCAGGGGAGTCAATCCAGACCTTCCCTCAGGGAGCTCCCAGTCTAGTGGGAACAGTCCAGTAACACTGGGTGGTAACCACCAAGATGATGGAGGTACAGGAGACTTTGGGAGAACAGCGAGGGCCAGGTAACTGAGCTTGGTGATCAGGGAAGGCTTCCTAGAGGAGGCGATGTCTCACTTGTGACCTGAAGGATGTATATGTATATGAAGTGCAGATTGGGGCCTAGAGGGAGAGGCATAGTGCCCTGGATACTGAAAATTGACTCTGGCTTTAGTGTAAAGAGGGGAGCCAAGGAGACTGAGAGGCAAGCAGAAGTCTTGCAGGCTGGGCCTCCTAAGCCACCTCTGGGAGTTAAAACTTCTTAGCTGCAAAGGGAAGACACTGAAGGGTTCTTAAACAAGAATGGACTGTGCCCCTAGGACTTTTGCTGGTGCTGAGTAACATCAGTACTGGAGTTACTGAAGGTGAGGCCGTGAGTCCTCTGCCTCTGGCTGTGTGCTGCTCCAGACCCCGCCCTCCAGGAACTGGATCATGAAGGGATGACAGATACTGTGGGCAAAGGCAAGACCCGAGGTGGTTCCTCCCTCCTACACAGGTTCGACCTCCAGACACTGCCCGTCGACTTCGTGGAGTGCCTGATGCGCTTCCTGCCCACGGAGGCGGAGGTGAAGCTGCTGCGGCAGTATGAGCGGGAGCGGCAGCCGCTGGAGGAGCTGACGGCCGAGGACCGCTTCATGCTGCTCTTCAGCAAGGTGGAGCGGCTGACCCAGCGGATGGCTGGCATGGCCTTCCTGGGCAACTTCCAGGACAACCTGCAGATGCTCACGCCGGTACGGCTCTCCCCCGAATCCTGGTGGTCCACGGTGTGCCCCCCCCACTCCTGACCTGCTGGCCCCCTTCCCTGCTGGCCCTGCTCTGACGCCATCCCCCCCTGGCGTGGGGTTACTTAGTTCTTCCTCTTGCCTTCCAGCAACTCAACGCTATCATTGCCGCCTCTGCCTCTGTCAAGTCCTCCCAGAAGCTGAAGCAGATGTTAGAGGTGGGGGAGGTTGTGGACGTGGGTGCGGGTGGTCCCCAGGTCCTGGGTGGGGCTGGAGCTGTGCAGAGAGGAGGGCCTGCCCTGAGTTCCTCTGGTGCACCTCTGGACAGATCATACTCGCACTGGGGAACTACATGAACAGCAGCAAGCGGGGAGCTGTGTATGGCTTCAAGCTCCAGAGCCTGGATCTGGTAAGAGGGTAGGGGTGACAAGGAGCCAGGGAGCTTGAGGGGCGGCAGCTGTGGAGCCCAGGTGTTCAGACCTGTTGCGTTGCCCTTTTCCCCCCTCGACCAGCTGCTGGACACCAAGTCCACCGACAGGAAGATGACCCTGCTTCATTTCATCGCCCTGACGGTGAAGGAGAAATACCCAGACCTGGCTAACTTTTGGCATGAGCTGCACTTTGTAGAGAAAGCTGCTGCAGGTGAGAGCCTGGCCTGGCGAGCCTGCCCTTATGTCCAGCCCAGGACAATCCCTGGAAGCTATGAGGAGAAGAACGCTTGGGTGCCTTTCTTTCTGGCTTTTCTTTTTTTCTGACACTTCAAAGATTTCCGCTGGGGCCATGGGCAGGGGCCACCCCAGAGAGAGCCTTCCTACAGGCCTCTCGCCCCACCCGGGTGCTGTGGGAGCTGGTAGAGAAGGCAGCCGTGGCTCTTTGCCCCCACAGGCTGGCCCTGGAGCCTGCCTGTCTCTGTGATGTATGTGAAGCCCCCCATAGACATAGGGTTGCTGTTATTTTCATCCCCCTCATGAAACCGAGGCAGGCCTGGGGCAGCTCTGTGTTGGTGCCCAGCAGTCTCCGGCTCACCTTCCTTGGCTGTCTGGAGGGGAGCCCACAGCCTCCACTCCTTCTTCTTGCCCCTGTGAGAGCCTGGCTCACTTGGTGCGCCCCTCTCCACGCGTGTGGGAGCTCTGGAAGCAGGGCATGAGGAACCAAGCTAGTCCCTGCTGCGGGGAGGGCTGTAGTCCTCAGCCTGGGCTCTGGTGACCACAGTGTCCCTGGAGAACGTGCTGCTGGATGTGAAGGAGCTGGGCCGGGGCATGGAGCTGATCCGGCGGGAATGCAGCATACACGACAACAGCGTCCTGCGCAACTTCCTCAGCACCAACGAAGGCAAACTGGACAAGCTCCAGCGTGACGCCAAGACGGCCGAGGTGAGCACAGGGTGGAGGCGGGTGCAAGCAGCCGGGGCCACGGCGCCATGCCCCTCTGGTGGGCGTGGTTCCGGTTCTTGGCTCAGAGAACTTTCGTCAAGCAGCTGGCTAGCTGACTGGGGGGCAGGGGGTTGCACTGTGGGTGGCAGGCAGCTGCCTCTGGAGACATGCACTTCAGGGGGCTCTGGGAGCCCCTCGTTCTTTTCCCTCCCACAGGGGCTGTGGGGGCCTCTGTTGCCTCTGCTTGGTCCTGGCTGGTCCCTGGTGGGAGCTGGGCTTCCCCTAGCCCGCCGGGCTGACCCCTTCTGCCCACCCCTTCCCCAGGAAGCCTACAATGCTGTAGTACGCTACTTCGGTGAGAGTCCCAAGACCACACCTCCTTCGGTATTCTTCCCAGTGTTTGTCCGATTCATTCGTTCTTACAAGGTGAGTAGAAGAGAGGTTTCTAAAGAGGAATCTGGCTCAGAGAAATCGGGCAAGGGGGAGAGGGCTGGGCTTCAAGTCTGGGCCTTTTTTGTCTCCTTCTCTGGGTCTGGGAGAGATGGATAGAAGCTGGCCGCAGGCCTCTTAGCTGTGAACTGGTGGGTAGGGTGGGGGCCCAGGCCCTTCCTGTCATTGTTTGGGGCAGGAAGTGCCCCTCCAGAGGGTGGCCACCTGGGGTTGCTGGCCCCACTGACACCCACTCTCCACCCTCAGTGTCAGCTCCTCCCCGCATAGCCTGTTGTGAGCCTCAGCGCACACACCATCCTCACACACACGCACACACACACACACCATCTTTCATGGTTCTTAGGAAGCAGAACAAGAGAACGAAGCCCGCAAGAAGCAGGAGGAGGTCATGCGGGAGAAGCAGCTGGCTCAAGAAGCCAAGAAACTGGATGCCAAGGTGGGTGGGACCAAGGGCTGGGGCCTGGAGAGCAGGGCAAAGGCTTAGGGGGAGGGTGGAGCAGAGAGCTGGAGAGGAGATTGAGAACTGGAGCCCAAAGACCACCCAGAGGACCTGATGCTGGAGTCCACAGGATGGGGAGAGGGGCTCCGAGAGGGGACTCCCAGGCCATGATGTGGGGGGTGGTGGCGCTGGTGAGCACAATCCAGGGCACTCCAGGGTCTGAGTGCATCTTGAGGCAGGAACCAGCCCTGTGGAGGGTTAGTGCTGACACCCTTCCCCTTCAAATGCTCGGCCCTAGACCCCATCCCAGCGGAACAAGTGGCAACAGCAGGAGCTGATTGCAGAGTTGAGGCGGCGCCAAGCCAAAGAGCACCGGCCTGTTTATGAGGGGAAGGATGGTACCATTGAGGACATCATCACAGGTGGGCCCTTTGCCCTCCCTGGCGCCTGGCCACTGGGTGGCACCCAAACCCCTCCCATAGCCCTTTGGGCCTCCTTCCACCCCAACCCCATGGGGCCTGACCACTGTGTCTCTCTCCTGGGCCACAGTGCTGAAGAGTGTCCCTTTCACGGCCCGTACTGCCAAGCGGGGCTCACGCTTCTTCTGTGATGCAGCCCACCATGATGAGTCAAACTGTTAACCCCCAAGGCTGGGGCCCTTGACAGGTACTGGGCACCACAGCTGCCCTCTGCATGCCCACCTCCCAGCACTCCTGCTGGGACCCACAGGCACCTCCTCCCCTGCATGATTTGGAACCATCCTCTGGCAGCCTCGCAGTGATGGGGGGCACATACTTCTTCCCTTGCATGCCCCATGCTCTGAGAAGCGTGACTGATCCCTGCATGTACCCTCAGGGAAGTGGTGCTCTCCCACTAATGCTGTCTTGGCTTCTACTAAGACCCAAGGGGTAGGGAGCTGCCCAGATAGGCAGGACCAAGCGCCGCCTCTGATTACTGAGGCTGAGCAGCTCCAGTCCTGGGCCTGGGTGTCCGTTGTCCTTGCCTCCTCAAATGAGCTCTGGCAGTGGCTTCTGCCCAGGGACATCAGATGATCCTTGACCTGTTTCCTGATATCCAATCTGCCTGGGGTCTCTTCCCAGCTTCTAGCTCTTGCTGAGTCCACCTTATTTCTGCCATTCCCTAGTGACCTTTAGCACTCCCACCTGTTGCTCTGAACATGCAGAGTCCACCCTGACTGTCCACTCCAGCCTCTTTTAATCTCACTCATTAGCCTTACAGCTGGCTCTTTGCTAAACCTGCCTGTGGGGCTGGGCCTACAGAAGGTGGGCCTGGCCTAGCCTCCCTGCCTGTTCACAGGCCTCTTGTCTTCCCCACAGGCCTCCACCACCAGCCCCTCGTCATTCGCCATCCAGCCAGGAGTGCTGCACCGCCTGCTGGCCCCCCTCGGGCTCCAGGCCCCCACTGAGACCCTCCTGGAAGCAGAAGCACTTCAACCCACGGAGTCCTGCAGGTCCAGCCAGTGCACCTGAAGCCCTGGAACTGGCCAAGGGCCCAGCAGAGGGCTATGCTGCTCTCAGCCCATTCCAGCTCTCAGAGCTGCATCTCGCCTGCCACCTCTGTGGGCACGACGTCTTTCAGGGCCTGGCACTTCCCTGGTGCCTCCAGTACAGCACTTTGCTCCCAAGGTCTTCAACTTCATTTCCTCAAGAGCCAGCTCAGGGCTGGATTAAAACCATTTCCAGCTTTAAGCTAGGCTACAGGCACCTAGGCCCGCCGTCACTAGAGCCAGAGGGAGGAGAGGAGAAAGCAATTATCCCTTCTTTTTTCCCCTTACTTTTTGAATTCCAGTGGTCAGCTGTGATCCAGGAGTGTCCAAGCTTAGACAGCCCTGGACCCTGCCAGCCTCAGATCACCTTCTACCAGCAGCAAGGCTCTCCTAAGCCTGGGCCCACCCAGCTGTGCCCTAGTGATAAAGGTAGAGGAGCGATCCCACGCTCCCTGCCTGTGGCCCTTCGCAGTTGAGGCTGACTCTGTCCTTGTGAGCAGAGGGGCCATTTCCTCTTCCCCAACCTGGAGACAGCAAGAGAAAGGGTGTGCCAACAGCATCCTCACTTTTCCCCAGCTAGGTTTTGCTGGCAGGGGGCAGGGTCATGGTGGTCTCAACTGTTTTCTCCATCCCCTGTCAGTTTCTTCTCAGTCCCTGAAGGGAACACAGGGGCCCACCCCTTTTTGTACATGTACCACTTCCTTCTCTCTTGTACATAAACCCCAAACCTTCCTTCTCTCAACAAAGGCTTGAAATACCAAGCCTGACTCTGTCTCCTTTTTCTGAGCATAGGGGTTACATTGGCCATTTAGGCTGACCTAAGCCACAGGGGGGCTTCCCTGGTGGCTCAGCGGTGAAAAATCTACCTGCAATTCAGGAGACGTAGTTTCAATCCCTGGGTGGGGAAGATCCCCTGGAGAAGGGCATGGCAACCCACTCCAGTATTCTTGCCTAGAGAAGCCCATGGACAGAGGACCCTGGCAGGCTGCAATCTATAGGGTCGCACAGAATTGGACATGACCAATGTGACTAAGCAGCAGCAAGCCACAGGGACAGAAAGGAGGCTGGGCCAAGCTGCCATGCTTGGGGGAGGTGACTGCAGAAGCCTGGGCGAGGAGAACCTGTTTAGATGGGCTCCAACCTCACAAAGGGAGGCAGGCCTCCCATGAGGCACCAGTGCCCCCTGCTGGCCCTGCGTGTACCTGTCTGGTCCCCAGCCTGCCCCCAGTACCAAGCCCACAGGCAAGACAAAAGAGCCACTGGCCATGTTATAAATATTGTCATTTAAAAAACAAAACCAAAACAAAACACACATACACTGCGCCCCAGGGCTGGAGAAAGGAGTGGTGGAGCCCCAGGGCCTGGGCAGGGAGGAGCAGGCCCTGATGCTAGAAGCTAAGGACCCCGCCCCTGCCACCCAGGCTGTCTCCACCAGCCTGCCACTTGTTCTGGGGGCCCCTTCTCACATTTTATCTATTGGTACCACCCACCCACATGGCATTCACCACCAATCGCTGGTCTGAGACTGAGGGCAAGCACTAGTTGTCCGGGAAGTTGAGGGGACCCTTGAACACCACAAGCACCTTGGGAGATGCCAGAAATGGTGGGTTGGGATTGGGGATACTTGAGAAAAAGTGGACACAGACCCAACTAAGGAAGAAGTTCTGGGGCAGATAGCGAAGGTGAACTCAGCCACAGCCTCACGCAAACCCGAGGCACGGTGGCGTGTCAGGTCACTGGTGGTCGTCCAGCTGCTGCAAGAGCGTCCGCCGCCGTCTTTCCAGCTCCCCCTCGCTCAGCTCGCTTTCCGACGTGTCCCAGCCCGTCTGGTGAAGCAAAGGCACAGCTCACCCACGGCTTTCCCGAGGGCTGGGCAGAGCGCTGACCGGGCGGGGGCCGAGTGCCTGCCTCTCACCTTCTCCTTCTTGATCCCAAAGGCTGGGGAGCGGTTAGGGAGCTCTGCCCGCCGGAGGTCCCTGTCCTTGTCCTGTTCTGGTTCTTTCTCATCACTCTCCTTGGCAGCTTTCTCCTCAGGGTCTGTCTCACTCTCAGGACTGTTCTGTAAGAGCCCAGAGGCCGCCTCCTCAGTTCCTGTGGAGGACGGCCCGGGAGGCGGGTGAAGACATGAAGATATCTCATAAAATAGCAGAGCCTTGGACGGAAGTTCCTTCTCTACGCACCGACTTGTGTCTTCTCTTCTTAGTTTTCTTTTTTGGTTTCTTGGCTTTCCGAAGACCATGATCTGGAGATGGAAAAATCCCCACTAAGTCCCATGGGAAAAGGGAGGCCTCATCCTTTTCTCTGCTCATTCTTCACAGGCAGGGACCTGTCTGAGGAAGTCTCAGTCCAGTTCTCCTTCCTTCTCTCCGCTTCCCGCCTGGGCAGGGACGGGAAGTTCTTACTCTCTGACAGGTGCAGCCCTCCCCACCACCTCCACCCTCAGGGGTGGGGCTCCCCTAAGGCCTCCCCTCCAGCTCCCAACTGCTTACCTGATCCGAGGAGAAGGCGAGAGGAGGGGGAACCCCGTCCTCCAAGGGCAGCACCCCCACTTTCAACAGAATCAAGTGAGGAAGAGGGCTCAGAGCCCGACTCCGAGGGGTTCCGTCGCCTCCGCTTGGGGGGCCGGAGAGAGGGTGGGGGCAGCTCCTCGTCTCCTGACTCAGAGCCCTGGGTAGGTGAACAGATACAAGTCAGCAGAGAGGGGCACTGGGCTCCAGAAGCCCTTGAGTCTGGGAACTGGGACAGGAATCGAAGACCAAAGGAAGCTCCCAGTCTCCCTCCAAGGAAGGTGACATATGGGGGAAGCGAGAGAAGTGGTTCTTATTTCCCTCAGGTGGTCCAGCCTCACCCCACATCCTTCCTACCCGCCAACTCACTGAAGGTGAGTGGGAGCGCTTGCGATGGTGCTTCTTGCCCTTTCTGCCGTGCTTCCGGCCTTTGCTGTGGAGGTGCTGGCATTCCGTCTGGCGGAGGCAGAAGGAAGGGTGAGGAAGGCGCCAAGGTTAGCTCCAGGAAGGACCCTGTGTCCCAGAGGTTCTGCTGCCTCCTCTGAGGCTAGGGTCTTGGGCACCGTGAGACCTCCCCTTCCTTAGTCTGGGAAAGGAGAGCCTAGGCCTGAGAGGTTACTAGGCTACTGTTAAGCTAGCTTCATGTGTTCACCAGCCTGGGGCAGAGAGAGAGGACCAGAAGCTCTGCCTCACCTCCAGTACCTGCAGGAACTCCCGAAAGAGCCGGATCCGCTCCGACTCCAGGGTGATCTGCTCAAAGGCTGAGTCGCACACAAAGCGCTCACGGACCTTGAACAGGAGAGCACTGCTGATCAGACCAGCCCCAGCACAACATGGAGGCCGCCGTGAGCACAGGGCAGGGCTGGGGCAGAGGAAGGAAGGAAGGGCGCCGAAGCTGGCCCCGAGCTGTGCTACGACTGGGGTGGGCCCCCAGTGGTGGTGAAGCACCGCTGCCCTCAGGACTGAGGGGGTGGTGTTTGATGCCAGGCTGCAGTCCTGACCTCTTCCCAGGCCGTGCCCAGCTCCAGAGCAGGCACAGCCTGCCTCAGCATGCTTCGGAAGGCAGCTTCCCTGCGCCGCAGCCGCCGGGCCTCCTCCTTCTCCCGCTCTCTCTCGCGTGCCTCTGCTTTTTCCAGCAGCTGAAGGCGACAGGACACAGGGCAGGGTCACTCAGGAGGTGGGTGTGTGGGAAGCTGGAGTCTGAGCTCCTACTATCACTCCTGGACTGGGGGTAGAGTCACACTGGGGCGGTGAGTGAGAAGGAATGGAACCAGAGCAAGGGACGAGTTCGAGAACGGAGACCTGGCTACAGCCCCACCCCGCGCGGCCCCTCACACTATTGAAAGTCAGCTTGATGTTGCCTGCATCCAGCGCAGCAGCCCTCTTGTCAAAGCTTATGACGTGGGCGAAGTCCTCGAAGGCTGTGTTCACCTCCACGCAGAAGCCCCGGTCCTGTGGGCACAGCAGCGCATGAAGCAGGGGGGCACCACAGGCCTGAACCTGAAGCTGGCTGCCTCCAGGGCAGGCATGGGTCAGACTACAGATGCTCAAGTAGCCCCCTCCCCGGGAAGAGATCCACAGGACAGGGATGCACTTCGGAGACCAAGTCATTCAAGTCCTCCCCCATCTGATAATTAAGCCTCCCATACCCGCCCTTGGCTTAGCTGTCACAGGAAACTGGAGGGGTTGGATCATGGGTAGGTGTTCAAGGTACATGTTCTCTGTCTGACAGATGCCTGTTTCTCACAATTGATTCTTTGTCCCTCTGGCTTAAGCTTGAGCCATTGCTAGGTCATAAGTTCCCTGTATGCTTTCTTAGTAAGCATCTACGGCTGTATTTATTGAGTGCTTACTATGTACCAGGTACCATGCTGAGTGCCTCACACACATTATCTCACTTAATTCTCACATATCTGAACTAAAGCACAGGTGCTAATTTTATGTGGAAGAAGAAACCAAGGTTGAGAGGAACCAGAGTAACTGCCCAAGGTCTTCAAGGCTAACATGTGGCTGGACAAGAATTCTACCCCAGGTCTTTATAACAACGAAGCCCCTACTTTTAAGCACTATACCCACAATCATTTTGTCTATGGGAAAAATAAAGGCCATCAGCTGTACAACTCCCCAGCACTATTAAGAACACATCACACTATAAAGCACCATGGACTAGGTGCTGTGCTTCTCACCTAAGCCTTACAACACCCCAGTGAGCAGGTTGTAGGAGAGTTGTCTCACTTGACCCAAGACGACTCACTGGAGCGTGAGGTCTGAGGCAGAGGCCCAGGTCCCCTTCTACTACCTCTGCTCATCTGGAACTTGCTCTGGCCCCCTGCTGATGGCAGAGGAATACTCTTCCTGCTGCTTCCAAGAGGGCTTCCTCAGCCCATGCTCTCCAGCTCTTCCCCTCAGACATACACTCTCTCTTACTTAGGGACTGCAGACTTCGATCTCACCTCTTCACCAGCTCCTTCCATCAAGTACGCACCTCACTTAACCTGGAATACCCTTTCTACCCTGCTCTCACCTTCCTCAAGCTAATAACCTCTGCTTCTGTCCCTCTGTTTCACAATCTTTAAATATAGCACGAAGGAAAACATTTATTAAGCCTACTAATGAGCAAGATACTACAAATGTTATCATTTAATTTCATGACTTTGCATTTATATTATCCTCATTTTACAGATGAGGAAACTGAGGCTCAGAGACATTATATAACTTGCAGAGGTCTCAGGAGTTCTACAACTCTAAAGCCTGTGCTACACTCATTCTACCCTCTTCATGGACACTGTTCTCCTAGAGGTTGCTCATATCCTAAGAACTCCAAGGACCCCTTCTCAGTCCTCACTCTTCTATCCTCTGTTCACTTCTGCAGTCCTTCCTTCTCCGGGGTCCCCTCCTGTCTCTGACCCCTTTTACCACCTCTCTTGTTTGTATGTGCCTGTTCCACACTGTTCCTAGCAATCTCATTCCTCATCTCTCTCCTGACTTTCAGACCCATACGAGACTGGATATTTCACAGACACTTCAAGTTCAGCAGATCCCAAGATAATTCATTTTCTGGGAGCCCCCACCCCACACTCCACTCCCACTCCCATGGATGGGCCCAGATCTGTCTTTCAGCTGTTCCGAGTTCAGGACTCTGCATTACTCTATGGGATGTGGAGTGCCATCACAGTCCACAGTCTGCCTGGTGGGTAGATGGCCTCAGGGAGCCCTGGGTTCACCTGCCTTCCAGAGGCAGGAGCCCAAAAGGGGGCAACAGACGGGGAACTAACCAAAGACTGTCTTCATGAGGTGTGGAGAGACAGGCCTCAGTAAGGATAGGGCTCCTACAGGCCTGTCAGCAGTACCAGCCACTTAGGGGTTAAAAGTTAAGTGTCCAGTAAAATTTAACTCTTCCCAGAATAGATATTTCTACTTTATGTGATTATCATATTTAAAATATGGTATTTGCTTTATTTCTCCCTGCCCCCGGTTGCTTTATGAGAACAATTTCCCAAATGGAATTCCTGTTTTCTCCAGCACTGTTCTTCCTGCTTAATCCTTACCAACCATCAATCCACCCCTGCTATCTCCGACTCACTCCTTCCTTCCCTCAATTTCACACACACAAAAAAATGTGTCAATTCTACATCCGAGTAACTCTAGCCTACTGGTTTGAATACTCTTTTTTTAAATCAGCAGATGCTTTTTTTTTTTTTAAAGAAAAATCTTAAGTAGAACCCTCATTCCATAAGAGAAACAAGCAGTTACACTTGAAAATAGAGGAAGGAGCAAAAAAGTCCCATCCACCCCGCCCCCTCTGGCTTGTCCCAAGGCCCCTGTGAGCCAACCTAAGGAGCTTCAGAAACAACTGGAGCACCTCAGCTGTGCTCACTGGCCATCCCCACCTGGATCATGCAGCAGCTCCTGCCTGGTCTCTCTGCTCACCCCCAACACTTCAAACCCTGCCTCGAGAGTCCATGGCTGCCCAGACTTTTCTCCCAAGGGCCCCAACAGCAAGGGAGCAGTCTAGGGGTGAGTCAGAAGAGGATGACTCAAGCTCAGAATTGATCTGAATCACTTGCCACTATCACTTTTTGTGTCCTGAGGCTTCAAGTCCTGTTTTCCTACCACTCCATCCTTGTGCATTTAAGTACTCTGGCTGCGGGCATGGCTCTACACCACCACTGGGGCTTTTCCAAGACATCATTCCCCACACCTCCCTGTTACTTACAAGATAAAAATCCAATTTCCTTATTTTAGCATTCAAAGAATTTTATATGCAAGGCTCTCCTTCCCAACTGGGGTATAGAGAAATAGACGAAGCCACAGGACAATACGATACGTATTACCTAATGGTAAGTAATTTTAAAATATTAAGTTTATATTAACAGATAAGTGTTACGGTATTAAAGTACAGCACTGCATGAATTTTAAAGCAAAACACGGGACTTAGAAGAAATGTGTGTGCAGTGAGACAATCCTAGCTTTATTCTCAGACCTTCTTCATCTCGGATACCAAGTTACTCCTGCTGGCAATCAGGTGAAGTCTGGGGGAATATTCCCCACTTTTCAGATGAGGAGACATGCTCAGAAAGATTAAGTAATCTGCTCAAGGTCACAAAACTTGTAAGTGGTTAAGGTGGACTTTCAATCCCACAGTCTGCCTTCACAGTACTGCTCCTAACCAAGGTGCCCACTGCTCCCAGAAACTCATGAGAAGGGTCTTCACTTCCACAAAGAAATACTTTGTTATCTTTTTCCTGAAACACAGGACTCTCTCAGTCCATCACTCAATTTTCCCTCTTTGATAGACATGAATATTGAGGAACTCTCCAGCATGGAGAAGGTAAACTGTAGGTGACTTTGCTCTCATGTTACAGACATGACAGGGAGGAGTGAGGACAGATCAGGAAGGTATGCCCCTTCTTAAAGGCCGCGGTATCTCTCTGCTTTAGCCCACTGAATGCTTCGCAAAGCAAGCCTAGTGCTGCTAGATAATCCAAATTTCCAAGAGATGCTGAAGGTCCAGATTTTAATTGTAATCTCTTGATTTTAAAATGTTAGCAACAAATTCCAAGTTTTTCTAAAACACTGTATAGGCAGAAGGAAAATACTTGTGGGCTACTAATTTATGATTAGTTGTGCTTCCTGCTCCTCTTTGCTCCTGCGGCACCCTATACCCAGGGCCTCCATCCTCCCCACCTCCTCATTCTTAGAGGTGCAGTTCAAATGGCAATTCTGATTCTCATCCCTGTAATAATAACCCTTGCCCCTCTGTAATGTCTATCTAATTGTCATGTCTCTCCTCCTATTAGACCCTGAAATCCTTCTGGGCAGAAATTGTATCTTGTTCATTTCTGTATAAAGAAAGGATCGCAATAACTATCTCCTGAACTCAGCTGCAATGCTCCCACAAAACAGGATTTATCAGGGAGCCCTGTTCTGGGAGCAAACCCTGTACCCAGCCTGCATCCATCCACGGCCCCAGGCCTCCCTCACCTTAAGGATGTCCTTTATGATCTTCTTCTCATCATGGAATCGTGCCTTCAACTCCTCCACATAGAACTTGAACAAGTCCAGAGGGGTGGAGCCTGCGGGGGAGGGAGGGAGGGGGGCCTGGCGGGCGGCAGCTTCCCAAGGCCTGAGGGTGGGGTTGAGGACAGGACCAGGGAGTGGGAGTGCAGAGAGACTGGCAGGGCAGGAAGCCAGGCCAGAGAAGGGAGAGCCCGGCTGCCTTACCCGGCTGGCCCAGCATGTTGGCAAAGCGGATGTCAGTGCTGACCGCTGGGTACAGCTCCATCCAGGTGGACATGGAGTGCAGCTGCCCTGTCTCGTGCAGCTCGTCCAGGAAGGTCTAAGCAGGGAAGAGGCCAGTTACAGGGAGAGTGAGAGAGGGAGGGAGGCAAAGTCAAAGCCTGGGGCGGAAGAGGAGAGATGGCAGGGAGAGGCAGGAATGACCAGATTGAGGAAATGCAGGCAAGGGAGGCAGAGATGAAGAGTTACAGATGGGGAGGCAGAGAGCAATGTGAACAGAGACTGTGAAACAGAAAGGGACAAATTTCACATGAGAATAAGCCGGACTGGGAAGCAAAGGCACAAAAATATGCCTGCAGCATTACCTTCCCATGATTCCCACACTTCCCAATGTGTTACAGCCAAGTAAACCCCTCCACCACCACCACCAGTGCCACCTCCAAGATGGGGGATGAACTAGCTATGCCTGTCTGGCTCCCCAATGAAGGGAAATAAACCTGGCCAAGCTGCCAAGCCTTGCATTTAGGGCGCCATCTGCTGGCAGTTTCTGGGTGGCACACACACCTAGTCTTAAAGGAGCTGGCCCAGAGTTGAGGGGACACAGGAGGAGCAAAACTGTAGGCAGAGAGAGGCCGCATGGAGCAAGGACAGGGCTGGGCAAAGAGTGGGCCTGGCTGAGAGGAGGCAGGGTGTGGGTGAAGAGGAGACTGTCTGGGGCAGAACTGAGCTCGGATCCAGAGGGCAGCAAAGATACCTGGAAGGCCTCCCGGTTCTTGCGCTGCTGGCGCCGCTCCCGAAGTCGGGCTCGCTCTCGCTCCTCCTCCTCCTCCCTCTCCAAAGCTCGGATGTGCTCCTCAAAGCAGATCAGCGCATCTTCCTTGTCCATGTCTAACCGCAGAGAGGAGGCTCAGCAGGCACCGCGCCAAGGGAACACCCTCTTGGTCCCAGCACCCCCAGAGCTTCCAAGATGCTACTCCTGCAGGTGTCGGGGACACCCAGGGAGGTGGGGAGAGGGGAGCAGGGGCTCCTGGCAGAGGCTACTGGAATGATGGCTCATGAAAAGGGTTCACTAATTATATGAAGTACTCAGCTCTTGTGAATTTGGTTACTAGAAGTCATCATATGAAATCAGTTATCTCAGAATCTAAGGTTTTACTTTTTATTGGACTGGGATTCAACCAGGCTTTGATATAACTTCAGAAGGTGAATATCAGAAGATACTGCAAGTGATGACAGGCCAACAGCAGCTGATTGCCACATGTGTGACCATTTATGGCCCACCAAACCAAGATTATTTAAAACCATATTCACATGAGCTATAAAAGTCATCTTCAAATATTATTCCTACCCCAGTGCTCTTCTCCCAAGAACACACAATATCCAGGTTAACTATAGACCCTAGAGGGAGAGGTGTCCTGAAGCATCCATCCTGTGATCTCAAGTCCAGAGAGGTTCTGGACTAAATGCGAGGGACTCCTAGATGTTCAAAGGGGCAGGAGGTGCAGGGGGAGTGGTGTGAGGCAGGTGCTGGGGGTCAGGGAGGAAAAGGGAAGGGAGAGAAGGGAGTGGAGACCCAGGCTTACTCTGCAGCTGATGGTCCTGAGCAAAGCTGGGATTATCCATGAGGTACTGCTGGGCCTGGGACCAGGTGGTTTGGAAGTTGACACTACTCATCCCATCTAGGATGCTCTTCAGGGCCTGGATGTTGCGGCGCCGCAGCTGCTTAGCCTGTTCCTAGGGAGCCATGGGGTCAGGGTGAGGCAGGGAAGGCCAGAGCTACACAAGTGGGCCTGGGCAGAGGAAACTTAGGTAAAGGCAGGTAGCTTGGGAACTCTGGGATGGCCAGACTCAAGGCCTTTCTGACTCCAGAAAGAGGAAGGAGCACAGGTTACAAACCACACCCTCAGAGATCTTCCTGTCCTCCCACACCAAGGTGTAGGCCCAGAGCATGAACTGGGGATGTGCCATACCAGCTTCTGAGTAAGAAGCTGGGACCCTGGGGCAGCAAGTGAATGGGCGGGTCCACAAGGAAGCCAAGACATGGAAGGCCTTAATGAGACTGGGGCTGATGGATCCAGCCCAGTAGTTGTTACCTTCTCCTTCTTGGCCAGGAAGAAGAGGACATCATCATAAACCTCTTTTCGATCCCTCTCAGGGACCACAGCCCAGACCTCCAGCTCCCCAAACGTCTGTTCTGCCCGCCTGTGGAGCATATGGGTTGTGAGAAGGCAGGCAGAGAACAGAGCCTGGGCCCATGGGGGTCTCAGGGTTCCCAGGCCCCAACCCAGCCTGGCCCCCTGACCGGTAGCGGGTGGTGGAGGTCATGCGTTCATGCTGCTCCAGGAAATGCTGCAAGGTCTGCTTGGCCTCCTTGGCTCTTAGCCGGGCCTCTTCCTTCTCCTCCTTCTCCCGCTGTGCTTTGTAGGCATTGAATGCCTGCTTTTTCTCACTCAGTTTGGGCAAGGCACTAGGATGGACAGGACGGGAGTTGGGTGGGGATAGAGGAGTCAGCCTGAACCACAAGGCACGGCCCACCGAGCAGGGTCATGGCACACTGGGGAGGGCTTTCGCAGAACTGACTGCAGAGTCCATGCATGGGCACAGCGGGCTGCAGGGGCCCCAAGGGTACAGGGGAGCAAGACAGGTTGGTCTCTGGGATGTGGGGAGGGGTGACTAACAGTGAGGGAACAAGACAGGGCTCTTAAGACACTATTAATACTGAGCCCTTTTGCTATGGGTTCTTAAGTTGCAATCAGGCCTCTGCCCTATCCAGCCCCTCTTTCCCCAATTAATTCAATTCAAATCAATTCAATTCAACAAGCATTTATTGAATGATTCCCTTCCCCTCCTTCTCCTGGAGGTTCTTCAGCTTCTCTTCCCCAGCACACTCACCTATCTATCACTCTTCTCACTCTGACCCCCTCAGGGTTTCTTAGGAAATCCCTGGATCAGCCACCCTCATGAGCAATGTCTGGAGGGCCTGCCCAGGCCTACCTGTAACGGGGGTCAGTGACCACCATCTTCATGGCCTGTTCCCACGAAGCATTGGAGGGGACAGCCTGGAATGGAGCAGGCGGGGGTCATGCCCTGCCCACCTCCAGCCCCTCCAGGGCTACCCTGGGAGCCCCACCCTCAGCACCTTGTCCCTCAGCAGCTCCTTGAAGGCCTGCTTTGCCTTCTCCCGGTTACTCCAACTGAGACCAGACCTCTCCGGCTCCGGTTTTGATTCTTCTTCCTCTTGCTGTGGTGGCTGATGCTGTCCAGCAGAACTGGGGGACAAAGGGAACTCAGGTATAGTGTCCCCCAGTCCCTATAGTTTTCAGTGCCCTTGTTCCCCAGGGAAGCCCTTGTCTGCTCATCAGAGGCCATGCCCAGATCTTCACCCCTTTCCCGAGAAACCTGGCAGAGGTCAAGGGATGAACCCAGCTGGGAGCCTGAGGTCTAGAATGCCATGGGGGGGGCAGCCCTCACCTGCTGGGGCCCTCCTCTGGCTGCTGCAGGAACCCCTGCTCCAGGGGCTGGGCAGCCTCTGACACAGTGCAATCTTCACTCCCACCTGGCTCAGGTTCTAGGAGGCCTGTGGGCAGCAAGGTGGGGCCAGGCGGCACAGGTGGGGGATCGGGCTGAGGCTGAGGAGGCTGTGGCTGTAGTGTCTGTGGCTGCTGCTGTTTCCTGCAGGTGGGTCGGAAGGGCAGTGTCGAGTAGTGCAAAGACAGAGGTGGTCAGGGGCTGGCTGGTCTCTAGCCTGTGAAGGACTAGGGCCAGAGTAGACCACTCCACAGGAAGATGAGAGCTGGCTCTTCCTCTCACAGAGCATGGATCATGCAGAGAGGCCACTCCCACCCCTCAGGAGGCCCCATGTATGGGTGGACAGGTAGGCAAGACAAGCAAGTCACTTACCCTGCAGCCTCTTGTTTGACTAGAGCTGCAACAGGAAAGGATAACATGGTTAGAGGGTAGCACAGAGTCATGCCCCCGAGCCCTTGCTTGGGCCCACCCCCCTCCTCACCCTCCAAGTCATCCAGGTCCTTGGGCCGGGTCCAGCGGGACTCCTTACTCTGATTGTTGTAGTAGTAAGGTTTGCCTGTGTCCGACTTGTACTCTTTCCAGGGACACTGGGACAGCAGGAGCTGTAAGAGGATGGGCCAGGGAACGTCAGTGGGCTGGGCATACCTGCCAGCCACAGCTGGGGAAGCTAAGTGAGGGGATCCAGTGAGGGGGGCACACAGGAGTGTTTAGCTACCACCTGGCCTGGCTCAAGATGAGGGAAGGTGGACTTCTTGAGATCCTAGGAAGGCTGGGGAATGGTCAGGGATCTTAGGATTAGAAGAACCATGAGTATGGTTAGAGATTCAGGGAAGGCCAAGGACTTGGAAGGGTCAGGGCAGCTGAAAAAAAGGGCTAGAAAGCCCCACTCAGGACCTCTGCCTTGGACTTGAGCACGCTGGGCTTCTCCCACACGGACTGCTTGTCGTCAGCATTGTAGTAGTAGATGCGCCCATCAGGGGCCACATGCTCACTCCACAGTGCCCTCTAGGGGAGGGGAGGGTGCACAGAATGGTGGTCAAGGCTCCTTTCCCAAAGCTTCTCCTCCTCATCCCCAAAATTTAACCATTAGCACCTCCCTTTCAGCCTTTCTACCCAGAGACCCCTGAGTGGAAAGAACTTACCGGAGGGCCTGTCCCAGCCACAGCAGCTAGAAAAGAAGCCAAAGGAAACATATTAAGTCCTTGTTCCAATCCTTATCTGATCCCCATCTATTCCTCCCTTACACTCCATCCCCAGTAAATCTCCCCTGGTCCCATCACATCCCAGGATCCCTGGCACCCCAACAGGCATGATCCAGGGTGGGCTCTAGTCCATGGTCCCCTCTCCCCCCCAACCTCCGAGCCTGGGGGGAGCAGACCCCCAGAAGACTCACAGCTGGCGGTGTCCGCACCCGGAGCCGTCTGCCGAAGAAAGAGGAGGGGGAAGGGTTGGGGCCAAGCCCAGTGGCCCCCAAGACCCAGGCCATGGGGGATGAAGAAGCAGGCCAGGCCAGGATCCATGTGTCCTGCTCCCAGGGATCTCTGTTCCCTAACAAGCTTCCCCCGCCCTCCGGGACCATGACTCTAGGACCCCAGAAAGAAACTGCACGGCAGCTCCTTTTTTCATTTTCAAGTGAGAGTATTCTGTTGAGTGAGACTCCATGGCCCACCTCTTCCACAGAAAGTACCAAATGCCACATCCTACCCAACTCTACTACACTGAGCAGCAGCACAAGAAGGTATAGCGAGATCTCCAGGTATTGCCGCTTCTTCCAGAGACAAACAAGATGCGAAGAAGAAATTGTACTCGTATGTCCACAGTGCTAACTCTGTGCGAGTGATCAGTGTCTGGAGTGAAGGTGTTCCTTGAGGGAACTGGGCACGGCAGGGGGATAATGAGAGGATGTATGTCCCTTTGGGGACGAGTGAAAAACTAGAAGAGCTGAGTTCATGGCTGGAAGGAGGACTCAGTGTGGGGAGTGCAGCAGGGCCAAGGGTGGATGTGATGAGAAGAGGGAAAGAACGGAGGCTGCGTCCCTGTACGCCAAGTCAGACCCACGGGGCTGCAGTGCAGAGCCCACTTCCTGCCCCCCCCCGGTGCTTACCGCTGTGGTGACGGGCACTGCTGGCATCAGCATTCCTGGCATCATGGGAGGTACCATTCCTGGTATCTATGGATACAAAGGACATAAAAACCAGCTACTGAGGTGAAGGCTAGCACAGGCCGTACACAGTCCTGAGAGATCCTGTCGGGGCCATGACCCTCACAAGGGCACTCAATGGGCTCTGGGCGCTCAGCTGAGCCTCAGAGTGGTCTCTAGCCACTCAGCAGACAAATTCATGTGGGCCTGGCCCTATTTTTCTTCCCTCCCTCCCTCCCCAGATTCTCAAGTTAAGTTCATATATCCACCTTCATCTCTACCTGCAATTGAAATGACAGGATTTTCTGAGGCCCTGGTGCAGGGGAGATTACCTGTGTGAGCGGTGGTGGTGCCCCCATTGGTGGGAGCATTGGGGGCATGATGCCAGGTGGCATGGGGGGGATGGCCGGTGGTCTCTGACTCATGGGAGGAAGCCCCATTGGAGGAAAAGGTGGGGGGATTCCTGGAGGAGGCATCTGGAAATGAGGAAAGGAAGAGAGCCTGAGCAGAGGAGACACTGCTCTGCCCCTGTCAGGAAACAGCCACTCATCTCCCACCCAACCCTCCACCCTGGCTCTGAGATAGTTCCAAAGTTTCAGTCTGAGAGGCATGAAACTGCCTCCTTCCTCACCACTGAGACTGATAACAGGGGTCCTCTGGGTCTAAGAGGCAAGCACACAGCTTCTTGAGAGGCAGAAGAGAGGGGAAAAAGAAATGGAACTGCCACCAGACTGCGACCAGAAGGCTCCACCACTTAAGCGACTCTCTCCAAAGAGGCCTTTCAGATGCAGGGCCAGAGGCAGGTGTCCAGTCCCCAATCTCCCAGTCCTCTGCCTCCTATCCCTTTTTCCCAACTTGATGACCACCAGTTGCTATTCCAGCCTGACTTCATGGCATGTTTAAAAAATATAGACAAGGGGTGTTTCCTGGCAGTCCAGTGGTTAGGACTCCAAGCTTTCACTGCCAAGGGCGTGGGTTCAATCCCAGGTTGGGGAAGTGAGATCCCACAAGCCATGTTGGAGGGGAACAAAAAAGAATACAGACAAGGAGCAGTGAAAGAGAAAGACAGCCCCACCATGCCCTCACACTTAAGAGGGGCTTTTCGCATTCACTTCTTCCCCCAGCCCCCGTGTGTCCCAAGGACAAAAAGACAAAGGGAGAACTGTCAACTTTATGGACCCAAGCAAAACCATCCCTCATCCAAGGACAACAGAAGGGGGCATGACACAAAAACTGTGCTGGCGATGCAGCAGTGCTGGGGACTAGGAAGTTGGGGGTGCAGGCTGGAAAAGCCAAGCCCAGGGAAAGACATAAAACTTACGAAGGGTGGTGGCATCATGGGGGGCCCCGGTGGGAAGGGGGCAGGCGCTGCTGGGGGCCGGGGACCAGACTCGGGAACCGACTGTTGAGGGAGAGAAAAGTCATAGAACCCTGGATGGGCAAAGAGATGGGCTTTTGTAGAAGAGAAGCAGAGTGGTGAGGATGAAAAAGGAGCACCAAGTTCAGAGGAAGAGACTCAAAGCCCAGTTTCCTGCCCATCCCCACTCTGAGCCCTCGATAGACCTGTTCTTTCTTTTGCCAGTCCAGAGTCAGCTGGCTGAGCCCCATCAGTCATCTGTAGTTTGGAAGTTTCCATTTTGCCCAAGCCAAGAAAAGATGGAGGAGGTTCTACTACAGGCACAGATCAACTCTTTCCAAGGCTTTTCCTCCACACTCCCGCCTGTGGGCAAGGTTGTACTTCCCTCAAATCAGTCAGAGGTCTCTCATTCCCATTCAGGGAGGAAGTGGCCTCTTTTCCTGTTCGACTTCCTGAATTCACCCAGTACAGAGACTCAACCCAAAGCCCTCTAAACACAATCATTAGTCCTTCCTAAGTACTACTACCAGCCCCCTCCCCTAACTGGCCTCATCTTTAGTCACTCACTCTCCTTGACACCTCCATTCCCATTCCCTCCTTCTGTTTAGCTCTGCATCCCAGCCCCCACCGAGATAGCAGCCTGTGCCTCTCCTACAGATTCATCCCAGTAGAGGAGGCTTTGAACAGCCTAGGTCTCCCTGTCCTACACCCAATGGCTAGCCACATCTCATCCTTTAGTTCTCAGCTTAAATATCACTTGCTCTAAGAAGCCTTCCTGACTCTATTTAAAGCACGTCCAATTTGTTCTGATCCTCTTTTTAGTTTCCTCACTATACAATTTTGTAATTATTATGTTAGATTGGATATGTGCTTCCCCTTACACATATTACACATATTCCATGGGGGCAGAGATCATATCTGAGTTGTTGAAAGCTGAATTCCTGGTACCTGCCACAGCGTCTGGCACATAATAGGTACTCAACAAATATAAAGTGAATGAATAAACAGATGAAGGAACAAATCCTATTTATATAGAATCTTATGGCTCTAAAAATTCATCCTATAGATATAGCCCTACATGTGTGTTCAAGATTTTCAGAGCAGCATTATTTATAAAACCAGAAGACTGTAATCAACCTAAATATCCCTAAGGAACTATAAAATTTTACACAAACATAAGATGAACTACTATGCAGTCATAAAAAGAATGAAGAGGCTGTCTTGATAATAACTTGGAAGATACATAAACAAGTGGGAAAAAAAGAAGAGTGCAGCAAAGTTTTATTACTTGCATAAAAATCAGAAACAAAAGATAACACAAGAAATGAGAATGAGGACACAGGTAGAAAGAACTCTGTGTGCCCTCTTTAACTTTGCATATGACTATATTCACCCATTCAAAAACAGGTTTTAAGTAAACTGGGGCACTGAAATGCAGCTAAAAGGCTCTATCCTTCCTCCTCCTTGCTTGGAAGGTGCTGGGAGTGTGGTGGTGAGGGGGACTTCCAGGTAAAGGTGGGAACTGGCTCACTGCCGCCCAATTTCCCAACTTTCCCAATTATCCCTATGGTGGGAAAACTCGGTATTTAACAATGCTTCTACTCTCTACTTAAGCAACAGCTGTCTTTCCTTCCCTCTACTTATCTTGTCCTGAGAGAGGGTGTAAGTCAAGCTACTCCAACTTGAATTACCTTTCCTTGGGGTTCAGCTACTCTAAGCCCTGTATTCAGACCTGCTCCGCCCCCTGAAACCTCCTTTTGCACGAGAAGTCAGAAACCAACTTAGGATGAAATCCAGTGCTCTACGCCATACTTTCTCACCCAACCTGCCTCAGGGTCCTAACCTCCCAGAGGCTACACAACCATCTCTGGGTCCTACCAGGTTCTGCAATCACCCATCTCAGAGACTAAGCCACCATCCACACAGTTGTCCAAGATAGAAATTTGTGAGCCACTCACCACACCTCCCTCTTTCTGGTGAATACATCAATGAGTCCAGTTAATTTTACCTCCTAAAGATTTCCTGAATCCATCTGTTTCCTCCTCCAACCCTACAACTTTAAAAAAAAAAAAAAAAAAATCTGACCTACTTCAGTGGCCTCCTGACTGGTCTCCCCACATCCACTCCAACCGCAGGCTACATTACTCTTCTGCTTAAAACTCTTTAATGGCTTCCCACTGTACCAAAACCCATGTCCAGGGCCTGGGAGGCTGTGGCAGGTTTGCTCCCCAACTGCCTTGCCTTCTTCACCCATGCTGAGCTCCTTCTTGCAGTCCTCCCAACTAAGACATCCACCTCTGCCTAGGGCAATCCTCCCTCCAACCCCACACACCCCACCTCCATAACCTTTATATTTGGTCATCATCATTTCTTCAGGAAAAGCTTTCTCCAACCCAGTGGACTCCTCAGACCCCTCTTTTACACACTCATACACCATGTACCTTCCCCTTCAGCAATTAGTCACTGGAATTTTAGTTATTTGTACAATTCTGATTGTATTATTTACGTGTAAAAACAAATGCTGCCAAATTACAATACTCCACTGATTTTGGACTTCCCTGGAGGCTCAGACGGTAAAGAATCTGCCTGTAATGCGGGAAACCCAGGTTCGATCCCTGGGTTGGGAAGATCCCCTGGAGAAGGGCATGGCAATCCACTCCAGTATTCTTGCCTGGAGAATCCCAGAGACAGAGGAGCTTGGTAGGCTACAGTCCATGGGGTCGCAGAGTTGGGTATGACTGAGCAACTTTCACCGCTGATCTTAAGATGCATCTTGACTTCAGAAATGTTAAGATGTGAGTCTTAGAATCAATGAAATATCTGACACCTCCAGTTTCCAGCCTAGGCTAGAAACTTTAAGGGGCAAGGACTTTGTTTCTGCTCATCCCAGAACCCTGTGCCCATTTTAATTTCTTCACCACCCCCACTGGCTCACAGTACATACATTTCTTAACTTAATGACTGAATGATCTAGGTAGATCCACAAAACAAAGCCATCGGTAAGGTCTAGCAGTTATTTGGGGAACACAGAATGTCAGAGCTGGAGGAGACTCTGGCAACTACCCTAGGCATGCTTTCTCAGATGAAAAAAGGTGGAATAATGGGTCCCAGGGCTGGATCCAATCTGCCCTGAAAAACACAATCCTAACAAGAAGCAGGTCTGTTTTTTTCACTCTAGCATATTCTCTGTGACCCACGTGGTTAAACCAGGAAGTCCAACATTTTCTTGCTTGGAGACCAGTGGTGGCTCCCCATTGCCCACCCTACAGAATCTCCCATCTGACATTCAAACCCTTTAAACAAGACACACCCCACATTCTTCTGGCTCACCCTGATTCATGGCTTCCCTCCTCCTCTTTGCACAGAAAGTATTAGATTACTCCATGTGTTTCTTTTATTCTGCTTTGTCTCTTATTTTGTTCAAGATGATCCGATATTCACCTCCTTCAGGTCCTTTAAGATTATCTTCCACACATATACCCTCCTACCTCAGTCCCCTCAGGATAAATACTGCACTACTTTGCACAGAGTGACACGCTACTCTATGGATGTTTGCTGCGTGTTTCACATGGGACTGCATGTCTTGCTACTCAGGTGGGGGTTTCCCCATGTTTAGGGATTGAGTTTTCTCCTTTTAAGTGTCTTCTGAATGTCAAGACAGGGCCCTGTATACAAAGTCTTGTGACAAAATGCAGACTCATCCCTAACCTTATTTTTGCATACTGAAATATCCTAAAACAGACAAATGTGTGTGTATGTACCTAGGTACAGTTGTATAAACTCTTTGGGTAAAAGCTGACTGTGATGGAGAGAGAGGCAGTTTGGCAGAGGTCTGTGTGTCTGGGGAAAGTGAACTAGAATCAAATATTAGCATGGGAAAACCTAAACAATTTAAAAAAACTAACTCTATATGACCATCTTTAACTTGGAACGGAGACCGGTGGCCAGGATCCAGACACTAGCCTGTTTTGGACAGTTTCCACAGAGGACAGAGCAATGGTATGAACATAAATTACTGTGAAACATTCAAAGCCCTCCTTTCCTTGAGTCTCCTCTGTGCAACCTGTATACTTTCTTTCCTGAAACACCCCTGCCCCTATCTCACTTGATGCAGTGCCTATATAACTTTGAGTCTTATTACACTTCTGGGTGAGACTCTGAAGAAGTAATTTGTGTGAGAAACTGATACAGGAAAGGGGGCTGAAAGAGAAACAGATCATGTGTCTTCCCTGGAACAAAAACACATTTGTGGATAGGGACAGACAATGAAGAGATAATCAATCATCTGATCATCATGTGTTCACCTGGGCCAGCTGAAGGAGTCCTCCCCACCCCCAAACAATCAATTCTTCTCAGCGATCACACATGGGGGACATCTCAGAACTGAAGATTCAGAAAAAAGGAGAAAAGGAGAAGACTGGAGAGACACAGAATGGAAAGAGGGGGTAAAAAAACCTAATTGCTAATATTTACTGAGTGCTTATTATGAGCCAGATACCACAACAAAGTCATTTAATCTTTGCAACTATTTTAGAGGTTATTATCCCTATTTTACAGATAAAGAAACTGAGGTTCAGAGAGATCAAGTAACTTGACCACGGTTCCCAGAGATTAAAGGGCAGGGGCAAGTTTGGAATCCAAGCAGTCTGACCCGGAAGACTAAGCTTTCAACTACTCCACAATGCAGCCTCCCAGCAAGGATGATAGTACCACAGGCATTTCTCACATTCAAATTCATTCCCCTGTTTTCTTTTTACCCCAATTCTCAAACAATCCTGAAATCCTCAGACAGCCAAGTGATCCCAAGGTTGGCCTGCTCTGACTCACTTCCTAAAGGGATCTATGCTGGAAAATGAAGGCTGGGGAGGAACGCCTTTCGAAAGAGGTAGCAATCATCAAAAAGAAAGATATTAGGGAGGCTGAGAGACCAGCTGATTAGCCTGTAGTCTACATCCACCAGTTGCCCTTCGTTAGCTGCCCCAAACAGCACCAGCCACTCCCTCCCTGTTTTCGAGGCCATCCTAGTCCCCACTCCCCTGTACCAGCCTTATTATTCTTTCTGCTTCCCCAAAATATTAGCAAATATTTTCCATTGCTTCTAATCCTGCCATCACCTCACCACTCTCCTGATGAACAGGTTACTTCTGGTCTTCATCCTTCTTGGGTTCAGTCTTAACCTCTTCGTCTTATTTACACAGTCCTCCCATCACTCCAACAGGAATGCAGAGGCGCTGGCTAGTCTGCCCCAGCCTTGCTTTGTGCCGACCCTCCCCTCACATCCCTGGGGATTTTCTGCAGCCCCAGCTGAAGGCCTAGCCTCCATCTTCATCCAACTTTCCTTTGCTTCCCCACGTCCTAGAACCCATTCTCCTGAACTCTCTCAAGCACCTCCCCATTTTAAGAGCAGAAAGAGATCTGGGATATCCTTCTTATGCATCTTCCTTTATTCTTTTTATCGATGGGAAATCTTAGGCCCAAAGAAAGGTAGTGAGTGACTTGCCCAAGGTCACACAGAGTTGTTACAGACTGTCTTGGCGGCAGAGCCAGGGTTGGGACAAAGGGGCTTCTGCTCTCCCCATTTTTTGGACTACCCAGCACTGGGTGGGGGGTCAGAAACGTCTCTTTCCTCAGGAGACAATACCCCCTCCTCACATCAGGAGACTATGCGGGGAAACGAAAGAGGGAGTCTCAAGTGGTCTTAGGGGGCATCCGGGGCTTCCAAAGGGAGCAAGCAGTGAGTCTGAGGAAGGGGCCTGTCGAACGCCAACATCCCAGGAGGGGAAACTGTGGCCCCCCCGCTTCCCCCTAGACCCACGGTTCCCACGTCTCTCACCCTTCTGTTCTTTCCCGACCTTTCTCCACAAACACACCCTTCACTCCATCCTTTCCCCTTCCTCACCCAGTCCCGCAACTCCAGTTCACCTCAACACCCCCACCCCCCCCCCGGCCCCGGCCCGGGCCGCCGGGGGCGCTGTGGGACCGCCCCGGGCCCCGCCACCCCCGCGCGGGGACGTTACCATGCCAGAGCCTCGGAGCAGCTGGGCCGGCTCGGCCCACCCGCCAGTAAAAGCCGCTCTGATTGGCCGACCGCAGCCGGGAAGGCGGGGCCAGTGGGGGGTCGCACCCCTTGGTGGCCGGGGCTCCGGTCGCTCCACCGACCAGCCGGGTCCTCCACCGGCCCGGAGAGCCCGGGTCCGGCCCCGCCCCCGGCGCGGAAAGCCAGGCCCCGCCCCCACGCCGCCGGGTCCGGGGTCCGCCCACTGGGGGCGGGGCACGCCTCCTCCGGGCTCTGACTGCACGAGGGCCCACGCAGGGCTGCAGCCCGCGGCCTGAACTTTGAGCTTGACCAATGAGCTTACGCCCGCTACTCCCCTGGTTTCCCGCCCTGCCGGCAGGATTCCGACCTCCGCCCTCCGCTTCTCGGCCTTCGTGCTGGGCTGTCCGAGCTCACGGAGCGACTCGTGCGCTTGCTTCCAGAACCAGAGGCCGGACCCAAGTATTCATTCCGAATACAGGGGTATCTTTGCACTTCGCAAGGCGTTTTTTGGTTCAGTGCATAGTTATTTTTAGCACTTTAATTCACTCATTCAACAGCTATTTATTTTGAGCACCTGTTAATGTGCCGGGAAGTGTGCAGGCACTGGGCAAATAGCAGTGGAAAAAATAAAAGTGAACAGATCGGAAATTCCTGCCCTTGTGCGTTGTACACGTGCTTCTCACGTGACTCCAGTGTTGCTTCATTTGAGATTGGCTCCCGCCGTGTGGTGAAATAGTGAGGTGAGGGGCCCCAATTCATTTTAGGAATAAAGATGTGAGATAGATATTTCGTTGAACAGATAAAGGAATTATAACCTAAAGCTATGTAATGAGTGTTAAACGTCTCAGAGCTAGTAACTTACAGAGCTCCAGGCATTCGGGTGCAGAAAGTTGGAACACCTTCCCTCCAAAGCCCAGGTAAAGGTATTTCCTTTTTTATTTATCCACACTTAGCTGAGCCTGTGCTCTGTGCTTGGTACTGTGCTAGATCTTGAAGATACAAAGAACTCTCACCTGGGTCCGATTGCTGGAAGCTGGGAGCCTAGCAGGTGAGAGATAGGAAAACAACCAATGGGAAGTAAAAGTTCTAAAGGTGGCAAACAGGAGGAAAGGAAGAGTGAGTCATTCTTAAGGCCACTGCAGAGAGAAACTTCATTTGGAGGGAGTTGGTTTGGGACTGGTTTTTTTTTTTTTTTTTTTTTTTTTGCAGCGTATAGCTTGTAG